TTTCTAGTGAATTGGTCTGGCTGGATACCCTACCTTTCCATTTCTGGTTAAAGTGCCCGAAGTGGAGTAGGGTATGGCAGTGTTTGAGGATTTGGATGTGCCAGGTCCCGGTCGAGACACCAAAACCACTAGAAAATGAGGAATACGCCCTAAAGACTTAGAACCCATCATTTTCTAGTGAATTGGTCTGGCTGGATATGGCAGTGTTTGAGGATTTGGGTGTGCCGGGTGCTGGTCGAGACACCAAACCCACTAGAAAATGAGGAATACGCGCTAAAGACCTAGAACCCATCATTTTCTAGTGAATTGGCCTGGCTGGATACCCATCATTTTCTAGAACCCATCATTTTCTAGATGTTTTGGAGAAAGCAGTATTAAAGCAGGACCCGCTAAAGAATGACAAGCGCACGTCAAGGGACCAGAGCATCCGCTAGAAAATTGCAAACGCAGGTTCAAAAGAAGCAGCTCCAAACACAGGTCCAAGGGTGTGTTTGGAATTTGGGGTCATTTTCTAATGACTCACTAGGTTATGCCAAACACTGCTGCATGATGCTGCGTTCCCCATTTCCCAGGGAATTGACACTCATCATTCCCCAGGAACTCAATAAAGAATGACCAGGACTGACCTCCCCCGTGTGATTTTTGTGGGGGATTATTTTTCCGATATTTTTCGACCCCGTTTGAAATTGTACATAATTGTACATTTTTCAGTCGGGTGTCCAAATTAAATATGCATGTACTAACTTGCAGCCGTTTTGCACCATAAACTGCACTTGCAGCCGGCGGGCGCATATGTCGCAGTAAATTATACAAATGCAGCCAAGATGTATGAAGACATAGGCTGTTGAGAGGAGTCGCTTGTTTGCCTTTCATTGGACCTGGTGATGCAGTTCCGTTCCCAAACGAAAATGCAACCCCCTAGCTAAAGCTTTATAGCGATGAACGCGCTACTGACAGTGTAGCGCATATGTTTGTAACGAACCCCAAACCATGTGAAACTCGTCGGCGGTTCTGAGACAAACCATGTGGACTTGCTGAACCTGCCATTGTGCAACTTTAATCAGCTGAGCGCCGGTGCGATAGGGCACTTCGTGCTTGATGGTGAAGCTATGCCTTGGTAAGCAAGTGTTGGAGTTCAATTGTAGAGGACGGTGTTGATGGCAGGCACAGGTACCGTTGATAGTCTTGGGAGCTTGACGTGCTGCGAGTAACCACCAGTCAGGTGTAATTACTGCAGACATTTTTTGTCTGAAGCCACCACAGCTGGCTCAAAGTCGGAGCTTGCACTAGCCATGTCGCGCTTCTTGGTGATCCTCCTCAGTGCCGCCTTGGTGCCCAGCTCTGCCTTCGTGGCACCTGGCGCTCCTCGGCCAGCTTTGCGCTCAGCCAGCCAGGTGGAGCAGATGCAGCGAGTGGAGATGATCGAGGAACCCTCCACTTTCCCCTTCGGCGCTGTTGCGATGGCTTCCGTGCTGGGACTCATGGTAGGCCTCGCCAGTGGTCCTCAAGTGGCGATGGCAGAAGACGCCCCTGCCGCCCCTGTGATGGACAAGAAGGCCAAGCTGAAGGCAGAAGTGGAGAAGGCACAGGCTGCCTTCTCAAAGAATGCCAAGAGCAAGGACGACCGTCTGAAGGAACAAATGAAGCAGCTCGAGGATTTCAGCAAGACTGCCACCACCAACAAGGCGTCCAACTGAGAGGCACTAGTTGTTTTTTTCTCACAGCTGGGAGCCATGTAGGAGCCATGAAGAAGGCTTGATAAAGGCTCCACTACTACGCAGGAATGTGTTGGATAAAAAGTGCGACCTGAGTGACCTTTACATACCTTTACATTGAGAAGTGCCATTCTGCTATAATTCTTTTTTTTTCAGCACATCTGTGGGAGTCCGATGTGTGGAGCAAGCAAGCTGAGGAGAGAACTGATTTGCTGAGAAACAATTCGTAGAATGAAAGAGGAGCACTTGCGCGCTAGGTCGTGAACTCGGTCGAGGAGAGGAACCAGGATACACTAGGGTGCACTGGTGACTGCTGGCAGAAACCGGCAACTGGCATGTGTCCCGAATTTGGGATGGACATAGCCGAGCATGGAGGTGCCAAGCGGCGAAATGCCGCGAATTTGTTCACCGCTTGGGCTGTCTGGAAGTTGCAGGAAGTTTGAAAGTGAGCGGTCTAGAAGGGGGGGCTGGACTTCAAGACTCATGGTGTAAAAACGAAGACATTTTTGCGTCACTCATGTCCTGACGGCGCAATGTTCATTATCACGCCATACGCACCGCATCACGGGCTTTCTCAAACACATGCCGCATTTAGGTCGTAGAATGTTTCAACATTGTTTCGTCCTTCATTCTCCGTCGGGATTGTGGTTCGGTGGGTTGGGAAATCCTTCAGGCACGGCATGAGAAAAGAGCGCCGCAGCATCTCGCATCCAGTTTCACCCAGAAATTCCATGACAACATCCAGTGGGCATAAAACGAATGGACGGAACTGGCGATTGTGGTGGGACAAAGGATTGAACACACATTCACACACATGTTGCAGCTGTTGCATCTCCACTGCTTTCATCAAAAAACCCTCCGATCAGCTTTCATTAGAACAGCAAGGGTTCGGTAGTGGGATTGGAGAACTGTTCCCTTTGGAGTTTGGCTTTGGAAGGCGCAGCGCAATCTCAATCAGCCTATACAGGCCCTTTTACAATAGGCCAAGAGTGTTTGCCATTGCCCACAGGTTTTCAAGCAGCAAACAGGACATTTCAACTTGGCTGCCATTGGGGCCATGCTGGCAGCAGCGCTGGTGCTGCTGCCAGTGGCACTGGGGGCACCCTCAGCGGCATGCCCGGCTTTGGAGCAGGGCAGTTTGCAGGTCGGAACCTCAACATGGGTTAACCATCATGGCTCAACATGGATGAACACTCCACCATCAAGAGTTTAAGCTACATATTTTGGTTTGGGTTTGTAAATGTTTGTTTCAGCAGGGTTGATTTTAAGACAGCAATTCAGAAGGTGTGGTCTTGCTGCAGGTGGTTTCTGTGTCAGGGGTGAAACTCCCGACATTTCTTACGCATGAGGGTCTCAAACACCGGAGGGAATGGAATTGGATGGCTCAGATAAGGCACTCAAGGCACAAATGAATGTTTGAAGATGCATGCGATCAATTCTGAAGGGTGTTCCAATGATTGATCCAGCTTCTCCAGCAACTGATTGCCAAGTCAGGGTGAATCTTGACAGCAGTGCGTGAGCTGAGAAAACGACAGTGCATCCAGAGCACCCAGAGCATTCCCGACGCGTCCCCCATCCGTAAGCTTCGCGGGATGGGAGCTCGGCAGACCTGTTGTCCTGCCAAAGAGGACCAGCCCAAGGAAGACATTGTAGCCTCAAGGATCGAAGCACCTCGCCCGATTTGGTTAGAGAGGTGGAGCTGTTTGGGCGTTGAAGAAAACCCGTGGGCTAGGAAGGTGAAACCGGTGTTATGGCTTTTAGCCCTGGAGTTTTCTTCCTTTCTTGTTAGCTGATACTTACTTGAGGCTGAGGAAGTGCAGCACACGCATTCCAGTGAGCTGGGCCCGGTCAGCAGCGGCGAAAGTTGTGAAAAGTATCTGAATGACCTGCCCCCGCTGGTTGGCAGGGCCAACAGTTGTTCTAGCAGCGCTGCCGTGAGTGATGCGCCTATGGTGGCAAAAGTGTCCAGCAACTTGGAGTCCATTTTATTGTGTTTCGTTTTGCTGCCCCTCACTGCAACCTACAAGCACACTTGAACAGGCTCAATGCATCTTAATGTGGTCATCAGAAAAGAGTGTCTGTGGGCTTTCGCTGTTGTTTTTATGGTTGTTGTTGGGAGCACCTGTTTGACTTTCATGGGAGTGAAGATTTGATCAACCACAAAGCCCCTTTGTCTTTACCCAACTTTCATTGCAGGATCCCCAACAGAAATCATGGATATCTCATTTCTTCCATCAGTTGAGGTAAGTATTTGATCCTGGAAGAGATGAGACACCTGGAGGCTAGGCTTCGCTGCGAAAATGCCGAGATCGACCGAGCCTCCGCCGTGAAGGTCTTTTCTTCTTGGTATGTCCTTAGTGCCGCGTGACGACAGCGGCAGGTGTCAAGACATTATGCGAACACATGGTGTGTGTGTGCACCTTGGCAGGTGGATTTCGAGATCACCCGGGGCATCCAGCTACAGCAAGCGCTTCGCAAGCCAGGTCTTTGGCTCTGGCCGAGTGCCCCGGCGTCGGGGGATTTGTGCAGATTGTTACAGTACGTCTCATTGACGTGGTGAAGCTCTGAAGATAACCAATAGATGACCCATTGGACAACAAACAAATGGGGGACCCGATGCAACCACTGGTGCTGTTGATATATATATATAGCATAATATGTGGTATTGTAAGCATTTGTGCAGACTCGACCCGACTCCCAGACTTCTTGCCAGGCCACTACCGTAACACAGATCGTTCATCCGCATTGTGGCAATCAATGACGACGGTGAGAAGCTTCGACATTTTTTTGTCGCACACATGGTGTACTCCTGGCCGCTGGAAGATCCTCTCCTTGCTCATGTGGCATGTCTCACTTCTGGGCCCGGCATTGCGGGAGGGAGGTACAACGACCTGGTTATAGATAGAGCTCTCGGTGGCGTTTTGTTATATAGGTGGTTGGAAGGTTGGCTCCCTTTCAGCTTGCACCAGTTAAGGGGAATGAACGGCTTGATATCATTTTATCTTGCGCATAATCGAGTGTCCGTGTTGATGGAAAACTACTACTGTAATTAGATTAACGGGCGGTTGCTTGCAACTCTGTCAGCGGTGACCTGTGTCACGCCATCAGCTTATAAAGAGTCGGTTTAGTGTTCACAATCAGGATAGCTGGCATGCCCTTCAGTTCTCTCGCTGTTCCTTTGAAGAGGGTATGCCGGTTCACGATGGGTACGTTGCAGAGTGCCCTCGGATCTGGGAGGGGATTGCATCAACAACGTGCGCTATCCTCCCTCACCATTCAGCGGATGACACCTGAAAACCTGCATGTGCCCTTTGGTTGTATCTTTGGACCTAATTGCCTAACCCTAGCTAGTGCAGGATAGCTTTCATCAATACGGGGCATAATTGCAACCCCAATACGAACAGTAGATCCTTAAGCAAGAACTTTTCTCTGCCCCAGCCTGCATCTAGCAACATGACTTTCAAAATAATGTGCAGCAATCCATGCCCACGAATAGTAGTAGCATTGGCAGTGAGAGCACCCGAAGCAAATGAGGTTATTTCTCACTTGGTAAAGATAAGAGCCGGACTATACCACATACGATTACGGCACCATGTGTACTGTGGCTGCTCATGTAACACCAAGCATTAATTTAGAGGTTGTGTCCAGGCCCCTTTTTTCTCCGGCTCGTCTCGGCCGACCGTCTCGCCCGAGGCAATTTGGGTGGCCCCATGCCCTGACCTTCTGGTCGATTGGGGTCTCGGTGATGGCGTACTTGCGATGGCAACTTCTGGTCCCCGGCTGGGGAAACTACATGTTGACGTCCCGAGGGGTGACCTATGAGTGTTCACACAGCCCTTGGATCATTATTTCCGGCTGGGTGTCCCTGGTCATTGGCCTAATGGTGTCTCCCTATTTGCCATTGAGGACCACTTTCTGCTTCTTCGATATCGCCAGCATCCACCAGAGTGATGAGGACTTGAAGGAGCGAGGCATTTACAGCATAGGTGGCTTTCTGTCAGTGTCAAACGAGCTTCGTATCCTTTGGAGCCGGCCGTATTTTTCGAGGCTTTGGTGCCTGCACCTTGGTTGCGGCCTAGTATTGCACGTCCAGTTTTCTCCTGTATCTATATATATATATTGTTTTTTTACACGCACGCACACACACACACTCACACTATGTATACTGTATACTTTTACATGTGCTAATTAGCTTGGTTGTTTGTTTTTCTTCTCCTAACGTCAGTGCTGCATCTAATCAAGTTAAAGGAGGTTTCTCAAGAAATCAATGGATTAGATTAGATGTGTTCGCTGCAAGGGGACTTATCATCATCTATCCATTTAATCATTTCGCTGCAAAACCCGCTCTCGAGGTTTGAGATCGCGGCGTTTCGGAAGGCCAATCCCCGTGGGCAGATCGTTTTCAAGCCACTCTTCGTGGAACGAGCCGTGGCCTGACGGAGTTGGCCGTGAATTCGTTGGGACTCCGAAGGAACACCGATGGTAACGTATTTTTTCTTACTGTAAATGTCTGGACTATTATTTATTGGAAATATATATATATATAAACCTAACATTTAGTTGCGCTACCTTTGTTAATTATTGCCTTGCAGAAGGGCGGTGCAAACGGACATACTGTTTGCTGCAGATGCGATCCCAACATACGACATATTGGTATTTGGACCATGTGCCCGTGCGTCCTAGAGTTTATCAGTCGCTGGTTTTTGCTGCAACAACGGAAGCCGCAGGTGGCATTTCTGATTTGCATGTTTTTCCTCTTCTCTCTGACTGACATGGTGCTGTCCATCTACATAGAAGACGACAGGGAGCTCAAGAACCTCTGGTGGGAGCTATTTGCTCCTTGCCTGAATGATAGCTCACGAATCATGAACTAAAGTAAGGACATCAGCGACATCGGCCAGTTATTAGTTATGAGAACGCTGAAAGAAGAACCAGAGAGCTAGCTGGCCTTTAATGCAAACATCTTTGAATCTGACCAGCATTTGAGGCGGTGTTTTCTCCCGTTTTCCCGCTGGTGCATGTAGCGCGGTGCAACTACCGCGAGAAGGCGCGGCTGCTGAATGATTTGCTTCTTGGCATGCCATCACAGAAATGCCCGAAGCCTTTGGCACTCTCCAGCTTCGGGGTGATCTGTGTAAATTCAAGTTTTGTGATAAGCTATGGGTGGTGTGTGCAACAACATATTCGGTGACGTGCGCCACAATCCATCTAATCGAGCAATTGATTGCCTGAGCTATAGCCTATAGCGGCTCTTCGGAATTCGCTCCCTCAAAGCTGCCTAGGGATCTCCTTTTGGACCTTCCTCCCTTCACAGGGTTCCAGACACTTGAACGCCTAGGAAGCGGTTCGAACTGGAGACTCAGCGGCATTGCTGGACCTATAAGCAAAACACAACAACATCCCTGCTTGCCGTACAGGGAGACCAGGTTTCAACATGTTTCAACGAGGCGGCATGGTATGTGTTGGTTGTGGGGGCGGTGAGAGGTCGTTTCGTGGCCTTCTTGAGCTTGGGGCGGAGGGGGGGGGATCGACACAATCGACCGGGGGAATAGAATGAAGTGAAAGGATTCGTTCAGAACTTGGACTGCAGTTGTTAGTTGAGTAGAAGAATTGTTTATTAACAACGAGCTTCACAGTGGATCAACCAATTCTCATTTTTCCGAGATATGCGGGCATTGGGCAAGTGCACCGAACATGCAAAACATGATAAGATGCGATAAGAGGGAAGTGATGGAGGGTTTTGTATGAGTCATCTGAGTCAACTCATTGGCTTTCGACCGAAGCAGTTAAACTTGAGCTTGCACCTGTAGTGCTCCGTGACTCATGACGGAAATGCTTTCTGCTCAGATTGTGTGTTTCTTGAAACCCTTGGTGCTCCTTCTTTCCCCGAGTTTCAACCTACACCTCAATCCTCAATGCTGCCTCCTGAAGTGGTGGTGCGTGGAAGAACCAAGAGTTCTGCACCAGCCCTTAGCAAGGCCTCGAGACAAGAACGGTCACTCCATGAGAAGACTTGGACAGGGGTTAGTTGTGTGGGCGGGAAGCCTTGCCGACGAACAAAACAATTAGCAATTAAGATGCTGCTTTCTTTGAGCTGCATTGGTGGCAAACTTAGGATGATGTGTCTTGCAATTCCTTCTTCGACACTCGTTTTATTCATGCTGCCATCGACCATTGGTATGGAAGCAAAGAAGCCTTCAGGGACTTTGTGCGTGGGCCGCTGCGGGAAGAGCTGCGGGGCACATCGAGACAGTTGGATCCGTCTTACGTGATGATGAGCATTAGCAGTACCGCCGCTTGGTTGGTCGAGACCTCAGTGGCTCTCAAGCATGGAGGCGCCGATGGCCTATCGATCTTAAGTTATGCCCTTTGCTGGAGCTCTTTCGCGCTCTTTTGGGCCTGGTCACTACTTACTGGCATCATTTATCTCAGTGAGAAGACCTCAGCGCCTTGCACTACACGCTTGGTGGACTGGCTTTTGACCTGCACGGTGGCCTCAGCAGCACTAGCATGGACGGGTGTCGGAGTGGCTCTATGCATCGTGGTGAGCCAGGCGAAGAAGCTTGGGCTGAGTGTTTGAGATTTATATATACTGTGCCGTCGCCATCGCCATCACATAAATGCTCGCAGGCACTTCCAATCTGCAAAAATCAATCGCCCAATCACCCACCTCCCCTGCAAACCTACTGTGGAGCTTGGTGGTGAGGTAGCAGTAGACACGTCAGGGTCGCATTACGTACCATCCATGGTTGGTTGCCGCCTCACTCCCGTGCAATGAGGACAATGTGGGCACCTATTGGACTGTTCACCTGCTCGATGTCTTTGCCCTGTTTAGGCCAATGGCTTGGACACTCCTGGCCCGCAGCTGTGTGACAGGCAGATGTGACAGGTAGCTCTTCTGAGACAAAGAAGTTGTCCGGAAGGGGTGCGTCGGGGGACTGAGAAGACAACGACGCAAAGTATTCAAGTTTTGGACAGCTGGAAGAGTCCCACTTGGCAAAGCCATGACTGGCACTTTTTAGCTGCGCGTGACAGACATATTAGGACACGAAGCGAGGATATTTTCTGCCCGCAGGCCCACAAAGGATGGACCATTTTGTGGCAATCATGAGCGCACTATGCACTTGCATATTGGCGCAGGGAGTGTATATTTAAATTTGTGCTCATGCCGATCGATCCTGTTGATTGCATGGGACCTCGCTGTTTCACCAAAATGTCTAATATTCTATGTGAGATGTTGGATTTAGCAGGGGTGGCACCAAGAAACAGCATCCCGCCCTGGCAGATGGACTTTTCTTGCGAGCCTTAGAGGTGCATTTTCCCATTTGAAAAGTGTGCCAGATGATCGGATCGAGGTTTGTGACCGCTGTGTCCACAATGACCTTTGCAAGAGCTTTGGCTGCATTGGCCGGGTGAGTGGTGGCTGAGGATCCAAGTGCCACCTTCCACTTTGGTGGCGGAGTGTGGCTCCATGCTCCTCAATGATTGTTCAGGGCCCCACCAGGGTCGTTGGTTTCTTGGTTGGTTGCCTCTTCAGCCTCCTGCTGGTATTTTGCTCAGCTCACGGCCCAACGCTTGGTGCTGTGTTGTGGCCGACAGGACCTTTCGAGTGAAAGCTTATGAGACCTCACCAGCACCGGGTCCAGCAATGTAGCCTCCTTCCTCAGCGCGTCCCTGTGGGACGGCTGCGTTGTAGCCAGATGCTGCCGAGAGAGAGAGAGAGAGATAGATGACACAAAGGACAATTAAAACGACACGACATGTCATGTCTATTTCCTCAGATCAGTTTGGACTCTTTGAGTGATCCGATGGGCCCTCGATGGTTTTGCACGGCTTGCAACACATTTGGGGGTTTATGCGGCTGCAAGAGCAAAGTGAAGGGATCCAAACCAATACTGTAGGTGTTCATGACCTTGTCCTATTCAATCCCAGGGGCTCTCTTTGTGCTGATGTACACACGTACACATTTGAGAATGCAGAAGATTAATTACTGTTGGTTTGAGCCCATTGGTCGAGGGGTCTTCGAACCTCTCTCACGTGGCGTGATTTTTGAGGAAGGACGATCGGCTGAACATCCAATATGTATGCGACCCCTTCATGAAGAAGTGCGTCAACCCAGCAAGGAGCTCAGGAAGAAGAACACTCTTCGGGATCTTGGGCCCAAAGGCTTTCCATTCTGTCACGAGCTCCCTCTGACATCCCAACAATCCCAGACTCACAAATGGATCATTACTCTTCTTTGCATGACCATGCTCCTAGCCGTTTTGAAGACACAAAGCAGTTTGACTCTTGAGGCGAATCCATGGCACACACCATGGATTCACAGACCACTTCCGACAGTCTCGGAGTGTAGGTCATCGGTGGGATGACATGGTGGCATGCATGTGAACACAAAGGTCTCGTCGCGATGCTGGACCGGTCCGACCGTCTCGCGTCCGACAGTCCCGAGACCCGAAGTTTCGCCAAGGCTTGGAATGTGACAGAGATGTATGTTCAGTGCCCAGAGGTCTGGGGGCCGACCCGCGCTCGCGCTCCGGGGTTTCGACCTGGAGGTCCATGGTTGCTCTCAGGCGTGTGACCCCCCAGCAACATCAGCGGCATGTAGCTGTAGCTGCACATCACAACCCTTCATCGCCGATGCTGCCCCACAGATAGGCATCGGGATTCAGCCTGGTAACTTGGAGGTCGCCTGGGTAGAGTTCCACAGGGGTAGTTGGACAGATTTCTGAGGGAAACGTCAGACTTTATCAGTATTTGTGCTCCTCAGGGGCTTGCTAGAAGCATATCGACATGGTCTGGGGGGAGGATCCTCATGAAGTGTTTGACACTCTGACGCTTGCGGCCAGGGAACTTGCCAGAACGGCTTTATTGAATTGAGAAGATTCAAAGCCAACCTTTCAATGGATTGATCTTGACTTGATGGTCGGCCCGCCGCTCTCCAATCCCTCCTTGGGCTGGACGGATCGCTGCGTTGTTCTTCTCCACCCGTGAGAACATTACATAGGGTACTGGCGCAGGTTCTTGAAGAGCGTTGCGGAGGTCATGCTGAATCCCAGCAGCACAGCGAATTCACACGTTTGAGTGCAGGTGTGTTTCATGGGTCTTACTTGGGGTGTGGAGGGGGTGCCCTTTTTGAATGAAAAGCTCGCCTTCTATCCATGGGCTACTCATGAACAATCGCCGAGAGACCGGACCATGGTTTTCCGCATGGCGAAAAGCCCGGCAGGACCGGGCTGATCCAAGCACCTGGGGTGCTCAGTGCAAGCTAGAGTGCCGGGACCAGGAGGCATCGGCAGGGGGCAATGGGATCACGCGAAGGTTCTTTTCAATTGATCATTTTAGATTCAGAAAGGCGATGAAAGGCTCACCATACACTCAATTGTTTCCTTCGTATCTCCTCCTGGGCTCTTCTTGACACATTTGTGACTTTTCGCTGGATCAAGCTTGACGTCCATTTCCTTCCATTTTCCCGGGTTTGGGCCAAAGCAGAGCAAGAAGTTTCTCCACTTTCAGCAAGTTGCAATTTCACGTGACCATGGTCAAACTTCATGATGTACACGCAGAACATGGAGGTCTGCTGCACACCAGAGATTGTTCATGGGGCAAGTGGTAGAAGACGAACCAGGGGCCTCCGCTGTGCGCCGTGCGGCTTCGCGGCTTCGCCCCATGTAGTGCTTACCTTGACGTCCATGGGACCTCGTCATGGCCTGTTGCTGAGCTTTTTCATTGCCTGTGTGGCGCTGCCAGATTTGCCAGATTTGCCAAAGACCTACTCTACCTTGAATCTGATGCATGGCACGAAGGGCTGGAGTAGGTCACCAAAGAGAGCTGTCTTAAAAAGTCCGTTGCAAGGACAACTAGGGATGGTCACGATGTGTGTATATATATATATATAAACATAGGTATATATATACACATATGTATAAATAAATATAAATATCAATCAATAAATACACAAACTAAAAAATGTATATATATATATATATGTCTAATACAGCATAATTTATAATTACGTGCGTAGTCACCCAAGATGAGGGTCGAGAGGGATGTTGCTGTGATGTTCCTTTTGTATGTGTGAGCGCAGTTGGGTGGCTCCAGGAAAAACATTAGTTTTTTCTTTTCTGAAGTTAACACCTGTGATTTGGCCAGCACTGAGTGACAAAAGGGGGAGTAATAGCGGGAGGTGTTCATCAAACCACATCACTCCTATTCACTCCACGCCGTGAAGACCCAGCTTTGAGCTCCCTTGCCCAACATGGCGAGGACCTGCTTCGGTTGGCGCCTGCTGCCTCCTGAGCTGATCCTCACTTATGCTGGTGCCTATTTGCATGGCGTGGCCATCAACGAGAGCGAGCTACTGAGCATCCGACACCTGGGAGAAGATTGGAAGAGACCAGCCCATCTGAGCCAGAATGAGATACCGAGATATCCTCTTCCAAAGTTGATAACAGGGTGAAATACATAGCAATGCATGTTCCAAAATGACTGGGTGAACGGCATGGCGTGCTCATCGTGCAGCACTGTAGCAACCCCGTACTCAGAGAGTCCTTTTGCAAGCCCCTTTCAGTTTGGACAAAGTTGCCGAACTATACATACTCGACTGTTAGTTCCAATTCGCACATATTCGCACACTTTTTACAGCCAACCCATCATCATCATCATCATCATCATCATCATCATCATCATCATCAATCAGCATTGATGCATTTGATTAGGGCCTAGGGGAAGATTGCGATTGGTACGATGATGTCTGATGTCAAGGACATGTGAGCAGGGATTTGGTGGTCGTGGATGACATCAAACTCACAGATCTCAGCCTGTTGGCCAACCTGCAGACCGTAGGCCTGATGTGCAGAGGGGCATGCGGAAAGGATGAAAACATGCATCAAAGCGGGAGTATTCTACAAACCGGCTGTCGAGTTCCATGTTCTATTTTGTGCTCTCGGGGTTGCTCCATGATTTTTGCAGGGGATTCTTGGCTTGTGTTCCATGCATGCTGCAACCGGATTCTGTCTGTGAAACCTGTGAAATTTTGACTACACACAATACGCAACAGCTTCCAAGAAACGATAATGAGGCTCACGCGGTTGTGAGCGGATTTGGTCATGTTCTAGGGCCAGGGCAACTGACTTCCTCAGAGGTTGTCGAAGGTGCTATTGATGTGACTGATGGTGGTCTGTGACTGTTTACATGCACATACACCATCAGCCGGAGTCAGCCTCCTAATTTGGCCTGGAGGTGGCAACGTGGAGATTCGGTACAATGCCCAGCTTGCAGATATCTCGGGCTTGTCCAATCTCGAAGTCATAGGGGGCTCTTTGAACATTTATTTCAACCACCGGCTGCGCCACTAGGCTAAGATCGTGAGCCTCGCTGCGGGTGGGCAGTTGCTCCATGCTAGCCATTTCCTGTAAAGAGCCCATCCAGAATTGGATAACACCAAGCAGAGGATTCAATGCTTCCATTCTCCTTGTTGGTTCAGCTGCAGCTGCCGCTCTTATATGTTACATCAAGACCCCATTCTGAACGGTCGCCGGGAATTGGGCTCGGGGATGCTTAAGGTGTAGGTGTGTGCGTGCGTGCTTGTCAACATGTTTCTCCAAGAACCCATTCGACAGCAAACTGGAGCTTTCGAGCTTTAGGATCTTTAGGACTGGCTCAGGTGAAATCTCCGGCTTTACGAAGCTGACAGTGATTGGCCGTTCACTGGGCATCCACCACAATGATCAGCTTGAGAACATCACAGGCGAGTGTTTTTCTGGGGGGGAGCTGGAGGAGAGAGTCAGAGAGAGGGAGTGCCTTTAGAAGTCCATTAAGTTCAGTTTCTTTAGTTTCACCTGCCACTGCCATACGCGTATGCTTATATATATATATTATATGTTGTATATATATATATATATGTATATATGTATATATTTAATATATACATATTCCTCGTCATGAATTCTGGGGCCATGATAGCGAAGAAGCACAGTGCACCCTCCCTTTCAATGAAGAGGCTCAGCTTTCTTGAAGTCGACCGGACCTCGATGTTGACTGCAGGTTTCCCAGCATTGGTGCGCATTGGCCAAGACTTCAGCTTGCGTGGGAACAAAAAGCTGCTGGCTGCGCCAGGCGGGGAACCTTGTAGGTGAGGACGTCTTTTGTTTGCAAGCCAAGGTCTAAAAATCTGAAGTATCCCTCCACCCTAGTAGTGGCCTCCACCCAATTTATATAGACCCCTTCCCCTCGATGTTTGTCGTATTGGTCTGCAGGAATGCCGAGCTTGCGGGCCCTTGGAGGTGATGTTGAGGCGCTGTCGTTTTCGACCGGGAAAGCCTGGCAACGAGTTTGGGTCAAGACCTCCGTTCCGCCGGGGGTCACGAACACTCTTGTCTACCAGGGTGCCTGAGTGGCATGAGCTCGAATTAAGTTTGCAGTCTCAGGCACTGGGGCATACGGTCAACATGAGCACGGTCGGCCCTCCGAAGACCCCGAAGCCACCAATGGAGCGAATGAGAGGTGATCTTCAACCCGCTGATGCAAACTGTGGATGACATGGTGGGGGCGTTGGAGATGATCGAGGGGAATTTCCTCATCAAGGCCAGGCTGACCACTGATGGTATCAGCCATCATCATAGCCTTGAGGGGGCACATCACGTGGCATGCAGGTTTTGAATGGCTTTGACGATGCGGTTGGTTCCGGTGTTCCTCTGCGTTTCGGACCAAAGGAGTCGGAAGCGAGTCATCGGTTTCGGGTTGGCTCAAAACACGCTCGAGCAAGGCTCCAGGTTTCGGGTTGGTCATCCGCCGATGTTTGCACAGATGTGATGGCCAAGGACAACGACAACCTCACCACCCTGGCCTTGCTGCCCAACATCACCAGAATCGCAAAACGATTTGAGGTCAGCTACAACGAGCGCATCACAGAGGTGCGAAGAGTGAAACAACGGTGTCCACTGGACCGAGGTTTGTTGGAGGTCACTGGGAAGAGCTCCTCCCTAGTTTCTTGACAAACCCGAACCGATCATTTCAGCTCTTTTGCCGCAGGTCCATGGTCCACCTCAGCTTGAACAGCAACTTGGTCGAGACGCATCACATTTGTTGAATTCAACATAATTCAACGCTGATGTTTTGGATCTCGGCCTGCTCGGATGCTTTGGAGTTGTCTATGCGCACGGCCCAGATACCTAATGGATTTGGGTGGGAAGAGGATATCAGTTGCTAGGCTTGGGGGCACACAGAACGACTCAAACCATATTGAGGCTAGGTGCCTTGACCATCAAGAGCAACAATGCGTTGCTTGGCAAGCCTCCAATGGTGGATGCTGCCCGTGGGTTCCACAATCCTTCAGCTGATGTTCCAATGTCACATGATGTGACATGTGTTGCAGTACAACGTGCTAGTACTGCATAAAACAGAGAATGCCTATTTGCTCATACGAGGATTGTACATGAACCAAGGGCGACCAGGGGGAGATCGATCGAGTGAGAGAGATGCACAGAGAGAGAGAGAGAGAAAGAGAGAAAGAAAGAAAGAAAGAAAGAAAGAAAGAAAGAAAGAAAGAAAGAAAGAAAGTAAGTAAAGAAAGAAATAAAGCAAGCAAGCAAGCAAGCAAGCAAGACAGAAAGAAAGAAAGAAAGTAAGTAAGTAAGTAAGTAAAGAAAGAAAGAAAGCAAGCAAGCAAGAAAGAAAGAAGGAAAGAAAGTAAGTAAGTAAAGAAAGAAAGAAAGCAAGCAAGCAAGCAAGAAAGAAAGAAAGAAAGTAAGTAAAGAAAGAAAGAAAGCAAGCAAGCAAGCAAGAAAGAAAGAAAGAGAGAGAGAGAGAGACAGAAGAAGCATTTGGGCGATCACCTAATAGCAATGGCTTCCAACCTATTAGCGATGGCCTCCAACCTACAAGCGATGGCCTCCAACCTACAAGCGTTTGGGAGGCGATCGCCTATGGCCACCCAAGCTTTCGCAGGTTGAGATTGGTGGATGGCTTCGATCGCTTGCAGGTCTTGGAATACTGGGCGGGAGGACTGAGCTTGGGGTCAATCGGACTGACCTGGTTTTTGAACAGCTTGTCCAAACCGAGACTAGAATACAACGCGAAGCTCTGTAGAAGCACAGGACCCTTACAGTCGTTGAGTGCCTTTATCCCTTTATCCAACTACACACCATGCCCAGCTTTACCCGCCTCGGCATTGTCCGCTGATTGATGTCGCACCTGCTTGGCAGGAAAGCTAATAGAAGGCACCTTCCAAGTGATGTTCAATACAAAACTGGAAAGCCTGAGCTTTCCTCATCTCGAGTCAGTGGGCAACCTGCGCCTTGCCTGCAAATCATCCGAAGGCTGCCAAGCTTCCTCCATCATGTTCAAGTATTTTATAGTATTTTATAAGCAGCTAGCATTTGGCGATCGTTCTGGTAGATCTAGATTCTATGAATATGATGTGGTGAACCAATCACCCAGCACCCAAGCACCGTCCCGTACCACGTGCTGTGCCCATATTGGTCACTCACGCGTTTGTCAGTCCAGTGAACTGGGTGTACCGTGTACCGTGACATTGGGTGCTTCACAACTCTTGTTGGGTGAAATGGGGTACTTCGTACTGTGCAACAATGGTCACGCGAAACTGAGACCTAAGTTGGCCCTAAAATCTAGAAACCAAATGATTAGTGCATGAGCTATCCTGCATCCTTATGCTACCAGCTACCTGTAGCTTCTACTAGCTACCTAGCTACTACCTCCCTCTTCTGGGCTTTAAAATTAACTTAGAACTTAGTCCTAACGCTTTTCATGATGGTCATCGGCCCTTAATAGTGACATCGATGACTCAGGACGCTCCTGGACAATGACAATCTCACAGAAGCTTCCTTCCCCGGCCTGTGGTCCGTGGCGGGTGAGGTGAAGGCGTGCGGTTTTGTGTGTGGAGCAGGAAGGGAAACGCCCTGAAATGAGGCCAGGACTGAAACCAGTCAGTGGGTTGTCATCAACGCTGTCTATTGCCTAGGAGGCTTTGCGAGGCTTTGTGGGTTCCAATTTGAGACCAAGCAATTTGCCGGTTTGGGGTGTCTGTGGAATCACGTTGTGACGACAGTTTTGTGTGTGCAGCCTACATTTCGGTGTCACTTGGGCAACAGAGAGCTGGCACCTTGCTGGGATGATAATTACTTGCGGGTGCCATTTCTGATATTTATCAACTTGTCTTGATCATTGAGGTTAAATTTTACAGCCGCAGATTGTGTGTGTGTGCAACCTAGGAATCAAGTGTGGGCAGATTTTGCAAAAGGGCAGTGGTCACCTTCCATTTCGGCCATATCAGGTGGGTTTACCATTGGTTTACCATAGTGTATACTGTATATAGCATAATAAGCATCCTGATGCCATTGAATGGCCATTGCAAGAGACATTACACTGCTTGGCCTTTCCAATTCCGGACCGGATTTGGGCATTCGCTCTCGGGTTTCGTCCGAGGGAGTTTCCACGATCCTCCGAACTTCCGGTTCGGAGTTCATGGGCGGGGTGGCACGGTGACCAACAACTTGAACAGATGGAGACAGGTTCCGTCATGAAAAGTTGTAAAACCTTCAGCTTCCAGGGAAACTGAAGATAACTGAGAGGTCCGGTCAGGTTTACAGTCAAAGATCCACCGTACACCTGCAAATCACTGCAAGTATTGACTTAGTTATTTTGCTCGTCCACCGATGCCGCAGATGCGCCAGGTCTCCTACCATGCGCGGCTCAGAGCCTTCAGCAGCAATGCCTCCTCAGCGGCAGGCATTTCCTTTCTGGCCAACTATGAGCTTCTGGAGGCGACGTGGGTCCTCAGGGTTGTCGCTCCGCAGGAGCGACGCATCTTCTACCTTCAAAAGAACATCCTGCGGGTGATCCCTATGTGGTAGCTAAAGTCTATAAGGTCCATGAAGGTCCCGTGGTTCTCAAGATATTGTACATGGTTGGTGGTCTGATACTGATTCTTCATGACCAGCTGCTCAGTAATCATTTGATGGGGGTAGCATGGGTATCTTTGTTTGATGTCGAGATTCTTTTGTTGAAGACCAAGGCCGGTGAGTTCACCGAGGCCAGGGTCCATTGGCGTCGGTTGCTTTTTTGTCGACACCTGTCCCTGCGCTACAGGTGTCGATGCCCAACCTCACACACGTTCACGGCAAGTTGGCGATTTCCTTCAACTCGGACTTGGAATACTTGGATGGATTCGACGCCTTGGAGAAGGTGCACTTGTGTAGAAACCTACCAGGCTCAGAACGTGTCTAGAGTCTAGAGTCTAGAGAACGACTCCAGGTTGTTGATGCCTCGAGGACAACATGACCCCCAAACACCTCCAGGATGCTTCCAGCATGCACCAGACACCCGGCAGAGCCGGATCTTGTAGTGATGCAGCGGTGCAGGTGGATGAGAACTTGGAAATCATAGGCAACCGGAAGCTGAAGGACATTTCCACCTTCAAAGAGCTCAACTTCATCGGCAAAGACTTCCTGGTGCGGCGCAACAAGCATTGAGGGAACGAGATGAGATGGGCTGGGGCTTGCGGGGAGCGAGGGCTTGTGATTTGTGGGATGTTATGACATGTTATGACACTGGACTGGAGTAGGTGCTTGTACGCCTATTGCTTTTCCCATCTTCCCGAAGTCTTTGACAAGGCGAAAAGGCTATCTCATGCTGTTCCAGCTGCTCCCCCTCATCTCCAGGTGGACAACAACACAGCGCTCACAGACCTCAGTGGGCTAACCCCCAAACTCAAGGTGCATGGAAACATGGAGCGCCTTGGGCTGCAAAACCTAGGCCCCCGGAGGAGTTTCGATACCAATCGGTGAATTGGTATCCGGTTTAGTTGACTCAAGCGCTGATGGGAGAGGCGAGAGATGTGAAAGTGTAACCAACATATGGTTGCAGAGGGAGAGAGCGTGAGTCTGAGAGAGAGAGATAGATAGATAGATAGATACATAGATAGATAGATAGATAGATAGAGAGAGAGAGAGAGCAAGCCCACCACAGGTACTGGCAACAACAAACATAATAACATAAAAAGATAATTGATCCTGAAAAATTGCAGAAGAAGGGCAAACCGGAAGAAACAGAACTGGCAACAGTGCACAGGTACAAGTCAAAGCCGCTACTGACAGCAAATTGTGCAGCATCCGAAGAACCGGTCTACAGGTTTAGGGCCTAGATTGGCCCGCAGCATGCCAGGCATCGTCTCCTCAACCAGTGGGAGAAATCAATAACACCAGTGACTTATATAGAGCAACAATAAGAAGAAAGAGTGCAACAACAAAGGAAAGAACAAGCACAACAAGAGCTACAACATCTACAACAAAGGCCTTCCTCAGGCCCAAACCGAAGCGGAGCCTGAGGATTGAGAACAACGACCAGCTCTTTAGCATCAGTGGGCTTGAGACCCTGCCCTTTGTCAGCGGCTACGCTGTGCTGAGTGGCTCAAACAGCACTTGAAATTTGGGTCAAGCTGTTTGCGGTGACTAGAGTAAGAAGTGAGACTTCCGAGAGGACAGAGTCGGACAGAGAGGACACATCAGCGAACATGTGCTATTTCAAAAAGTGTCCGGCCTTTTTCTTCGACTTCCTCTTGTTGGAAGAGAGTCTCTTGGCTCCGCCGCATTCGTCGCCGCATTCAGGCATCAAGTGCTCCGGCAATGCGGTCCGGCCACCGAACCGTGCCAGCTGCGTGAACTGCGCAGCTTGGGAGATGCCCTCTGAGGACAAAGCCAGCTGTCAGTTGGATTACGTCTTCGTGGTGGTGGTCCCCTGGATGAGTGTCTGCTTTCAGCAGACGCCGGAGAGTTTGACTTAAAACGTCATCCATTCGGAAGAGCGAAGGGAGGCGAGTTGTTTGCGTCTTGGCGATCATTTAGTCCTGAGCCCAACTGACCTGACGTGCCTTCAGGTTGGCTTTGTCTATCTCTTGACGTTCCTCCTGGCTGTGAATGTGGGCATGACTGTGAGGACCCGGAGTCTTTCCCGTCGGACGCCGCGAGAGAGTGTTAGGGATTTGGACCTTGGTGGCTTTGGAGCGTGGGAGATGCATTTCTGGCCAGGAATGTCATGGTCGTGGATGCCATTATCATGTCCTCCAATGGCCGTGTTCTGCTTCGGACGACGGAAAGGTGCGTATGGTTGAGCCCGAGCATGTTGAGGGTTCCACCGAAAGAATTGCTGGAATAAAGGGCAATCTGGGAGTTCCTGGCTGTTCTGAGCAATTTTTTGCAATTGGTTGGGCTTATCCATCTTGGTTTCTCTTGTGTTTGGTTTGTTTTGCTCAAAGTTGGATTCCATGTAGGGACTGTTTATGACTGCCGTGGTAATGCTTTTTCACGGGCTTTCGCAGTTTGGCCAGGCATTACCTGCTGCGCGGCTTTTGGGGACGCTCCTTTCCCCTGTGGGTTGATGGCACAGGCTCGTAGCCAGAGTTTGGAGGGAAGATGCGTGCTCAATCACTGGTTAGCAGCTACTGTAGATTTCACTCCCCTTATTTTCCACGAGGTTCCATAGTTGTATTCGATCACCATCTGGATTTCGACACGTCAATTACGCCAATCATTAGTGCCTTGACGTTGACGTTGTAGGCCATCATGGGTCATCCTTTCGAGGTGCTTTTCCTATTTTTTGTTCTCCTTCTTGGGATACTCAGTGTGCCTGGGCCATCCATCCTGGCCAGCTCCAACGAGCTGCTTGCTGCTTGGAGTCCCGATTCTGACAGGTTGTAGCTTCATTGACCAGGCGGAGCAGCCCATTCAGGCCAAGGCAGTTGGAGCTGCTCGGACGATGGATTTCGATCAACCACCACAGGGTTTCCATCCAGTGCTCAATTTCTCATTGAAGCCTGAGCCTTCCAATGAAACTTGAAACGAGCTGGGGATTTTGGAACTGGCCCATACATTGGAAGTCCTTCATTGTCGAGGGTGTTTCTGCGGCACCGCGTAACGGTGGAAGTGCAACCCTGGCCCGGGCCACTGGGGAAAGTTTGGTTTGCAAATGTGGACCGGTGAACCGATGGGTGCTTCCTTAGGATGTGGAGCTGGAATTGATGGTGCGCATGGAACAGAAGACCTACAATCGGAGAACTTTGAGTTCCCTTCCTCATTCGGAGGCAGGGCTGGTGAGTGGTGCAAACATCTTCAACCTTTTTGCATGAATTACAGTACTCTCTCCCTATACTTAAGTCATCTTAATTATTCTTAATTCGTTAACTACTACTTGTATGAATTTGTATGATCATGGGTACCCCAGTGCTGCGGACTCTGGGCCTTTGTATGGCCCATAGAGGCCTCTTCCATTTTGATGAAAGGGAAAGAACCGCCATTTCCAACTTTAAAATACGGAATTGAGTTGAATTTGAATTGAGTTGAATTTGGCTCAACCCCCTACCTGGCCCTATGTTTGGTTGTAACATGTTTGGAACCAACTTCAACTGTTGGTTGCCCGATCTGGGCCCTTCAGACTTCAGACCCCAACGTTGGTCACACGTTGGCCCCGACGCAGGTCTCGGTCCAGCGCACCATCGACTCCACGATGGGCTTCCAGAAGACCGATGCCGCTGGGCTTTCTTTTCCGAGCGATCGGTCGGAGTCGGGGACGCAGCGGCATCGGTCGGGAGAGTGCAGGTGGAGACACCGCAGCTTGGGAAGTGAAAGGCGTTTTGCTGGTCTTCAAAGGGCCATGTTGACGCCAGAGTTCTCATCCTGGACACCCCCGTGAGGTGATCCGCTGAAAGAGTTCATTGGATTACTACATTTCTAGTGTACTAGTAGGTAGATACCAAAATGGCATCCTGGCTGGTGACAGTAAGCGATGGACTTGCTTCCTCACTAGACTGCGTCACCTAAGCCGTCAGCCCATGGTCCTGCTGAGGGCTCTTGCATGCTGAGCTGCCAGGGCTTCGCAGTGGTGAAAAGCCCATGGGAGCTGCTTTCCGCTGGGTTCTGCATGCCGTGCATTGTGTCTCAGCGCAAAAACTGAAGTGGCCACTTCCGACATCTTTCTAACTCTGGCAGAATAACAAAAAAGCGAACCCAGCACCGCAATGTAATGGAAAGGGTCAGATTGTCTAACCTAAGCTTACTTCATAGAAGCGGGTGGTCAATCACAATTTATGATCAATTAACAACGTAGTCACTGTGGTTCAATGGAAGCATTCTGCCAGGCCCCACTGACCATTTCACACCGAAAACTTTGGGCATCCCGGAACGGACGATCAAGGGAGGGCGATAAAGGCCCTGGGAGAGAGTTGGGTCGTCTTCTACGGTTCCATTTGTCCACAAGGGCCTTACTTTGTTGACTTGGTTGCGTGGGGGTGGTCAAGCTGGAGTGGTCAATCTGCTTGGGCGTCTTTTGGTTGCCATAGAGCGCACACTATAGAGACTCTTGAGTCAATTCAGGCCAAGTGCACACAGCAACACCTACGGCATAGGCCTCGCGTCTTCTTGATTTCCGTCGTTGAATTTATGTTATAAGTTATATAGATCAATAATGATCAATAGCATTCGATAGCTTGATACGTGGACCCTGCGTCGGAGAAGTAGTGAGACGAGGCATGACGGGACCACGGGGCGGGTGCACGCCACCGAGGTTTGGGCCTTGGGGTTTTCGTTGGCCCTTTTTGGTCTGATCTATTTAGGCGTGACCACCGCAGCGGATGCTTGGCAGAATGGATGGGGCCCGTGATGGCTGAAGCAACCATGCACAGGCTTTTCCACGAAGCAGAGGCTGCTTCGAGAGTGATCTTGCACATAGAGTAGATGCCATCATGTGCCATACATCGCATTTCTTTGCAACTTCCTTCAGGAGATCCCATTGTCCACCCTCCTGTTGAGCGCTTTGCAAAGCTTCGCACTGGGCGCCTTTCTGGCACTTCTGCTGCGGCTGCTCGGAGTCCTCAGACGCCGTCATCAGCAGCAAAGCCGGCGCCAGCAGCTGAGGGAGCTGCAGCTCCTGTCAGACTTGGAGAAGGCAGTGTTCTTTTTTGAGGCTTTTCTGGTCATGTGTATAATTAATGTTTATTGCTTATTCATGTTTGATCCGTGTCTTTTTGTTCGGTGGCGTTGGTTGGTTTTATGAGTTGTCTTCGGTCGCGTGAAAGTGCTGTTTGGTCGTCTAAAGTTCAAAAACTCAACTCGGTGGTCTGCTTCAGGAAGGCCACCCAGAACCCTAAGCATGCCAGACATCATCGACCCTGAGCCATTTGATATCGATAGACATCAAGGTGCTGGGGCCTTCAGGCAACAGCGGGATTCTTCTGCCAAGTGGGGAAGCTCATGAAATATGAGGCTTATAGTCCTTTCAGATTGAGACACCTTCATTCTGCCCCCCAAGGAGTTGCAGAACTCACTGAGACCTAGTTTGGTCGACTAAACTGTACATTGGTTACACAATGACCAAAGTCTAGCAGTCAAACAGGTGGTTTGCTCAAGGTGCAGTCTCATCACGCGTAGCTGCAGTCTGAGCGTATGGAGGCCAGTTGGGAAGGAGATGATGACGCCCTGTCGCGCGTGCAGAAGGGGCTGGCTGGACGTGGCTGGACGCAACAGCGCTTTCAGAACCACGTGCAGCAAATGAGGTGTCGGCAAAGTCAGGACAGGCCACACTTGGGTTACTTGAAACCATTTCTCGCAGCAAATTCTTGGGAAACCGTGGTTCCACGACTTGGATGAGGACAATGGCATGTGCTACTCACTCCATGATTTTGGGAAAGTTCAGAAGCCACTGAAGGGCAGGCGCTTTGTTCACCACATTGCAACTTCGTGAAAGACCCTTCTTGGCCCCTTAGAGGCAAGAAACAACTCATTGCCCGTGATATGGGATGATGAGGTGGGAGTTTACCTCTGTTTGCATAGTCGCAGGGGCCTTTATGCGATATTTTATTTATATACATGGCTGGAATGACACAGATGACCCGTTGCATGAACGAACTTGCACCAGCAGCAGTTGCTACTGCTACTGGTGCTGCTGCTGCTGCTGCTGCTGCTATTTAAGCACGCCATTTGCTTTATGCGAGGACGCTGGGGTCAGTGTGGCCTACATCCTCTCACGCGAGTTCTTGGAGCTCTCACAAAACCGCAGTGGGAAGGATGACCCAAACTTTTACGACCTGAAGGCAGGGAAAGCGACGCACTCGTGCAACGCACATGTTGTTCAATTCTCAATGGGCATTTGTGCCGACAGCTTGGTATGACGCGTTGAAGAGCTGTTCAGTACATTTCGAGCCCACTAGCCAGGACGCCTTTTTCCTCCCATCCGATCCTGTTGCCCAGCCGCCCATTGGAGGCGCACGAGAGTTGATAAGAATTTCTCTCTATATATATATATAATGTTTATTTACGGTATATATAGCCTTTATAATCATATAATTTGATGAATTCTAATTCCATGTTTTCATATTTATTTTCCCTCTTTGTTGGTGCGATTAGAAGACTGTTGTACACGCAACTGTGTGTTCTTTTCTTGCACACGAAGCTCAAGGCCTGCAGTTCATTGTGCATGGAGTCTTGTCTGACTCACTCAGCTCACGTTATAAACAGCATTGTTCTTCACACTGTCCCTCACTTTGTTGATTTATTATCCACAAAGTGAATTATATCATTAAACTAGTTTTGCAAAAAGTTGCTGCCATAAGCACGCAAAAGAAACCAACAAATATTGTGTTCCTTTCATCTATTGTCAGTTCTATTTCTGACATTGTCTCAGGTCTATGCACAATTCTCTGTGCTTGCCGCATCTTCCTTTGTCTTCCAGACCATTGATCAGCTTTCCGCTGCTGCACTGCTTCATTCATTTTCGGACTTCTTGTCCAGATTCCGTGACCTCCATTGCGCCACCTTCATTGATGGTCAGCTCAGTCACCTCATATTTCCTTTTCTCGTTGGACTTCTTCGCTTCGAAGCCTATTGTATCAGCCTCCGCTTCCTTGTTCTCCATCTTGCCATGCTTCAAAGTGCTGACTATCCAGTTCCTGATCGAACTATGGATTCAGTGCTTGGAATGGTCAACCCATTTTTGACCAAGTAGGTGACGATTTTCATTTGGTCGTCCTCATTAAGGTACTTCAGGCCTTGAATGCCCATGCGCAGAGCGCCTGGTTTAAGATGACTCGATGAAACACTTGTTCATCCTTGTCATCGATCATTGCCATCTTCTTGACCTCCAGAGGGGGGTTGAATCTGCAGAATCCATCCCAGATGTAGACTGTACTCCAGTCGAACCAGGTGCCATAGTTCATCACATTGAACTTGTTGTTGAGCTTCATCACCTTGACAATTTGTTTCTCACTGTCCGTCAACCTGTAGTTGGAAGACTGATAAACCTGGAGCACTGTTGTGCTGTATCCTCGTGAAAACAAGCCCGTTTTTCGGCGGATGTTGTCACACTCAGCACATCTCTGGCTCAAAAAACACGACAATGATCACTTCGTTCTTGTCCGTGAGACATGGTTGCTTCATCACATGGTATGCCAAGACAAAGACCACCTTTTCTGAGCTTTGCAACAAAAGATGCGGCCTCCATCGTGGCAAGCGGATCTTGCCATTGAAGAGATGGATTGTGCCATCCTTTTTTCCCTCGTTGACCTTATTCAGGAGGTTGTCGTACTCCCCTGCCGTCATTGCCATGAACCAGCGTGTATTGTTGCTCTTCTGCCAGTCCTCGAGACTCAATTTCTCAGGACAGATGGCCTCTGCAACGGTATCTTTTTTCCACAACCACCCTTGTCGGATGAGGGTGCAATGTCGTAGTGCATCCCATTGGTACTGTTCTCAATGCCACGCTCTCCATTGCGCGGTCCTTTGCCAAGAAGGCCATGGTTCACAGTCCCTGTGGAAAGTCAGAGGATCACTCAGATGGTTCCAACACAAAGAAAGCTGCGGAGAAAAAGCATTGTCTCTCTCTCTCTCTCTGCCCTGCAAAGTGACAAATTGTCTTATGCGTTTGAAACACACAAGAAACGTCTCCCATGGCTTAAGCCTTAACGGCATTTAACGGCCGTGATTGTTTGTTTGTTTGGTTTGTTGGTTTAATTGTTTGTTTGGTGCACGACTCATTGTGCATGGTGCTTGCACGCGTGCTGGTGAAACTGTTTTGTTTTGTTGTTTCGTGCTGCTACTATTGCTGCCTTGTAGGCCAGCGCCGAAGAGATGTTTGTTTAACACCTTTGCCGTCTCATACTTTGTACGTATGTCTGAGAGGTTGTCGTGCGTGCCAATCGTGTTGATGCTCAGAATTTCCAGAATGCCAGACTTGCCAGACTTGCACCAGTTGTTGAATGAAAAGGTACTTGGGTTCGATTGCTTTCTTGCTAGTTCTAATTCTTGTTGCAATGCTTTTTCCGCTGCTGCTGTTAGTGTGTATGCGCATGTTCACTTTGTCTTGAGGGAAGGTTTCCTGTCCTCCTGTGCCGGTTCCATAGAGTGTGGAGTCAGTGGGCATCCAGCCTAGTCTGCATCAACATAAACGTCGATGTCTGGAATTTTGGTTCAGCTGATTGTTGTAGGATTGAGGACGTGCCCGTAATGGATTATTCCGATTCTTCCCTCGAGGTATCTCAAGAGATGCTTCAGCTTGGTGCTATAAGGTCTCCTGCTAGTTCCTTTGTTGCGTAGGCGATGTTTGGCCGTGCGCGGGTCAGCCATTGTAACATGTGCACTGCTCGTTTGTAGCTCTTGTGCTCTTGTGTCGGTTTTGTTCAATGTTGACGGATTGTTTTAGTCCTGCCGTCCCTGGGGTTGTGACGGCATTGCTTCCTTGGTCTCCAAGGTGTATCTCGAAGTGATCGCCTTGGTTTGGGATTTTTCTTCCAAGGAATGTTGTGGAGCTGCCTGTTGATCGTAGTAGAATAGTAGAACCTGTTGCCGTATGCTGGTGAGCAGTTTGTCCACTTCTGCTGCTTGCATGAAGACTGTCCTGACATCGTTCCTGTACAGGGTTGGTTCCCTTTTGAGTCTTGTCAGACCTAATTGTTTCAGGACATCTGCCAGATGATCCTGCCATGCTTTTGGGCTGCGTAGCCCATACTTGCTTTGTTCAATTGCCATACTATGTTGTTGTCCTTGTATAGGCCAGGCGGTGGCCATATATGATGCCACATGTAAATTGCTAGCCCTGCAATAGGTGCACGGAATACTGTCAAAATGTCTCCTGCTTTGATTGTCCATCTCATTGTCAGTGCTCTTGTGAGCAATATCTGCAGTATGCAGAATAGTGGTCTGTTGGCGTAGATGTCGTCCCAATCGTTGATTGCTTCATTGTGGTCTTTTGCTACAAGCTCGCACCTCCTCCACCTTGCCTCTCAAGACCCATATTGAATCCATGATGTTGCTTTGTTGCGTTCTGTGTGCACTGTTTGTTGCTGCATTGGCCCTACTTCTTTTTCATTTCTGCTTCCACCTTTGTTTGTTCTGTTTGCTCGTTTGCTCCAAGGTTGAAGATTGCAACTCTCGCATAGCGGCCATATCGACCACATTTGTATCCTTCTTTTTCTTCTTGTTTCCTTTCCTTTGTTGGCGTCGTTGCCATGGCCTCCATATCCTTTTCCTCCTTTCGTCTTTGTTTGATTTTATTTGTATATCCTTTTCCTTATTGCTTTGCCTTTCGATTGTTGAAACCGCAGCCATTGCAATCATAGTTGTTGTAGCCTTTTCCTTTTTCTTCATGCTGTCCTTTGCCTTTTCCTTTGTCGTCCTTTTTCTTTGCCGATTGCTCCAACTGCTTGACCTCCTACAAAGCTTGTGGTGACTGCTGATGATTGGGTTTGTTGTTGCCTCTCCATTCTGGAGAATGTTGTTGTGACTCTGTTGTATTCCATGGTGATGTTTCGTGCCTGTGGATATCGTTTAATGGAACCTGCCAGGAGTTGCAAGTGTTGTTGCAGTGGTCCTGTTGCTTCGCTTAAGAGGACTACTATTTTCACTTGTTCTGACAGCTTTGCATTGTTGTCCCTTTCATACTTTGAGAGTTCAAACTCCCATTCCATGAAGGACTCCTCAAAGTTGTTTGTGTTGAACGTGGGCTTGAGGAGTTTCTTCTTGTTTTCAACCGGGATGGAAGACAGGGAGGGCAATTGTCTATACATCTCGAAGCTGTTGGCTTGTTTACACTGTTTGCATATTGTTGCCGCCGCTCCAGTTGTTATGTTGATCCGTATGCCGTATGTATTTCAGGTTTGTTCCCGTTCCCATTTGTGCCTATTAGTCTTTGTCGTTCTCTGGATGCTGCTGTTGCTGCTGCTACTAAATTCTACATCGTCCATTTCTGCTGTTGCTTCCTCTGCCTTTTGTAGCAAGTCATTGTACTCCCGGTCCATGAGACCCACATATGCTGTGAATCTGTGCTTCCATTCTTAAACCGTGCCGTTGTCTCCATTGTAAAAGGGAGGCCTCAGCTTGCACTTGTATTTGTGACAGTGCTTGTGCTTCAGGCTTTGTCTCCTGCATTGTTGCCATTGCTGGTGCTGTTGTTGCGGCTGTCCTGGACATTGTAAGGGTCCCCTGGTCAAGCCCTCACTTTGTTGTATTGTTGGTTGTTGCCAGGGCTGCCAGGAGCTCACCTTGTTGGATCACAGCTCCGCTACCATGCTAAATTGGAAGGCTCTTACAGGCTGTTGTACACGCAACTCCATGTTCTTTGTCACTCGAAGCTCAAGGCCTAGCAGTTCTTTGTACATGGAGTCTTGTTTGACCCACTCAGCGCTTTGTACAAACGGCATTGTTCTTCACATCCCTCCCTCTCTCTCTCTCTCTGTCTGTGTCTGTGTACTGTAAATACTGTAAATATAGAACAATATAGATATATGTATAATTATATAGGCGAGATTTGGGGGTAGTTTCGAATGTCTCCAGCCGTCGAGTTTGCAGGAACGGTGCTTTGCCCGCGCGATGGACGTCCAGGAGCTCTTCCCCGACGTCGAACGCGTCGAACGCACCGTCCGTTCGCCGACGTCGCCGTCCACAGAGATGGGACGTTGGGACTCTCGACGCGTTCGCAGGCTGTGCTCTGGTCGATACCCTGGAGCGACAGCATCGCAGGGAGTGTGCCCTGGAGATATCAGATGCTGGCCGCCCTTTTCTCATTCCGCCTGCATCTGACGTGTTGAAACATGCCAGTTTGGATTCTTCTTCGGAGAGGCTCAGTGAATTCTTCGGCCTAGCACTTCGGTCCCGGGGTTGCTCAATCTAGGCTAGACTCCAAACTGCAGCGGCCAGCAATTGCACTTGAAAATGTGTTTGAATCCAATGGCCACCGTGGCCACACAACAAAGAGTATCAAAGAGTTGTCATTGGTTCCCCTGTGGGGCAGTGGACAGCATCCATGGATCGGTGATGACGGCGAGGTCAGAAGAGATGGGCGGATGTTCTGTTCCATAGGCAGAAGAATCTTCTGCCAATGTCAGAATTGCTTTGGGCTGTGGTCAGGTTTTCTTCCATTATTAAGCACCTCCGACAGAACACTGCAATTCCGTTCAGTAGTGACCAAACTAAGCAGTGCAGGATTCCAATCAACAATGACCCGAGCGGCTTCTTTTCACCTCATGTCGAGTCGAGGCACGCACTTCCTCTCCTGGGCCTGGAGTGGCTGGGCAAAATGGAAGCACTGTATCCTAGAGCCATGTGTACAGGTTGATTTCGGCCCGATTTCGGTGAATCTTGGGGCAAAAGGCAAATGGGCATGCAACATGGTGAAGCACTCAAATTTGAATGTTCCGCCAGACAGAACGGCACATGCCGCGGCAAGTCAAAGGGTTCTTCAATGCATGAACGTGCTTTGGCACGCTTGCTAGGGCTGCTAGGGTGTGTGTGTATATATATACATATTTTCCGCACCCGCATATAAGTAATATATATATATATGTATATACTATATTACATACATATACAAATATATATATATATTTATATTAATATATATATCTATATACAAACGTACCTATAATAGACATACCTATAATATACACACTCATTACAGCCATCAACTTTCTGTCGTTGCTGGTTTTTCCGTATCATAGGTGTATTGCGGTGCCATTCCACAAAAAGTCACAGCACAAATCAGGCTATTCGGTGAGCTTGGTTCAAAGCGCCATGCGCAGCTGGATGGATCAGAGCCTGGGCGGTTGAACCGACGAACCCAATCGGTCGATGTGTTTGGCACCTTAACCGCCCTAATCATCCTAACCCTAGACTGGAAGATATTACGGTGGTTTGATGGACAGACTAGCATGTAGTGGATACATGGTTCCAGTATTTTCTTTGCTTGAAACGTATTTGAGAAAGCCTTGGAGCGTTGGGCCACGAGATGTATTTCATTGCAAGATGTTGCAAGTTAATGTACATGATACATTTGCACACATTTGCGAGGTTTTGAGGGCCAGAGTTGCGATGGTGAGTTGCTACCAAGGGGCAAGTTGGAACCATCGAAGACTTTCCTCTACATGTGCAGCTTGGCCCGACGTATTGGACGCACTCGGTCTCCGCATTGGGAACCTCAGGTCGCGGGGACCGGACCTCGGCTCAGGTTTCTTCGTGAACAACCAATACCGGATCCTATTGGACCGAGATGGTGCTGGAAGCCGTGAGTTTAGCCTGGGAGAGGTGGGGGGCCGTAGTCGGGGCTGGTTTAGAAGGCCGCATCTCTGAACGTACATGGGCGAGAGGTTCTTGGCTTCGCAAAGGCACTCTTGGCTGCGTCAGGTTTTCGAAGAAAACCTGCAACGCGTTGGCCGAATGGTGGCGCTCTTGGACCATTGGGATCAGCCGCAGTACTTGTCAAGGAGAGAGAGCGTGTGTGGGACAACTGGGGTAGGCGGACCATCAGAACACTTCCAACCTCGGCTCCCAAGATCTCCCAAGACATCTTTGTGTGATTACACTCACCAACATGGAAGTCGAAAGCCTCGCCATTCGTAAAGGAAAGCAGTCTTCCGAGGACCATTTTCCACTTCCATGTTAGTGAGTCAGAGTGTATGTGATTCGTCATGCGCTCTTCACAGGTGGATCGATCCGCTGATTGATTTGGATGATCGGATTGCTTGCAGGATATGGACGATCTTCGAGCAATATTCTGCAGTGGTGTTGGAAATTGAGGCACCATCACTATCACCTCTCATTTTCCTTCTTTAGAGTCCTTTGTTGTTTCTTTGTGGGTTGCAGGCTATCGCTGTTATATATTGTAGGTTTGCGGCCATCAGTAGTAGGTTGGAGGCCATTGCTCTTAGGTTGAAGGCCAACGCTCTTAGGTTGGAGGCCACTTGAGAGCCCTTTGTTGTTCCTTTGTGGGTTAGCTGCTGTAAGGGGAGGTCTGTTGAGCCACGCCGCCTCCGGGGTTGCCAGGTGACCTTCATTCTGCCGCAGGCATCGGGGGAAAGCCTCCTACAACAAATCCGTAAGGCCGGTGCGGTTGTGGCATGACATGCTCAATAAACACACATGCATCATACAGATCACTTATGCACATTACGACAATTGTTGTACATGCTTCACGGTCTGAACTCGTCGCCTGAAGCTTCTGAAATCAGGTCTAATCATGCGGTATAGAAACTGTGATGGAGCCTTTGCCGCATGGTCCGTTTTCGCAGTGGATATCATTTGCAAGTGGAGCCTGACCAGGGTGAAGAGGGCATCTTGAGTGTGCGAGAGTCCCTGTGCAACGTGGATGCCGAGACTGCTGGTGCCTGGTGTCCCGAGGAGAGCTTCTTTCAAGGGCAGAAAACCCTGATCAACGTGACCCCAAGTTCATCAACTAAGGGAAGGGCCCATTTCCGGCATAGCCCCGGTGAGACAAGGGGTGGCGCTCAAGACTCCGGCAACGAACATAGGATGAGCAGCACGTGAAGCGCATCATCGAGCAATCCATAGGCTGTGGAGTCGGTCATGTGAGACATGGCAAGCAGGAGATGGCAAGAAGCGGCCACATGAGATTCAGTGAGCTGGATGAGCCTCTCAAGAACTTACCAGTACAACGTGCAGTTTGTAGTTAAGTTTCCCCCAACATCTAGGAACCAAATCATTAGTGCGAGCGTGAGCTATCCTGCGTCCTGGCTAGGAGCGAACTTCTCCTAGTAGCTTACTTAATAAGTAGGTGCCTAATTGCTAAAGCTAGCGCCAGCTAGCTGGAGTTACTCTTGCTTTAGCAAGTTTATTGCTGCGGGATGGAATGCCCTACCCTGCGAATATTATCATGCGTAGGCCGTAGGCCGACCCCCCCCCCGCGGCGGCTTGCTTATGAGATCTAATGAGAACCCATGCTAGCTTTCGTTACCGACCCTTGGCCTCAAGTTCTTTACAAGAGCGGTGGTTCGCATGGTGGTCTGACTAGTGCTGATGTGAGCTTCGGATTCGGGGAGACAAAGACCAAGCTTATGCACCAGGTTTTGAGAAAGTGAATGAGAAGGTGCAGGAACTCATGATTGCTTGGGTGGCCACGATGGTCAAGGACTGGACACGGGACGATGGTCAAGCCTGGGAGAAAGAACCCAACAAAAGCTCAAGTCGGTCGTCGGGGTTGCTGTTTCAAGCAAGAGCTTGTCATGTGAGATGTTTTTGTCACCTTGTTGCACATTCTCTGTCGTACACATGGTCAGCTGCTGCTGAAGTTTGTGCTAAACTGGTGATGCTAAAAGTTTTGCGCTAGTTGGAGGTAGTAGGACCTACTTAGTAGGAGTGACGACCAGGGCTGCCTAGTGCAGAAACACCAACGGCTTCCAGGAAGCTTACTCCCTTCTCTCTCATGAAGTCCACAAAGGAGGAACGAGGTCAGCCGGGAACACTGACGTCTCTTGAGGACTACCTGGGAGGCTTGGTCGTCTTGGGCACTCGGCGTCTACAACGCTTGAGGGCCAGGACGTTCTTAAGCGTGGCCCCCACCGACGTGTCGCACAAGCGGCTTGGCGTGGGAGGGGATCGGCAGGTCTGATGAGTGGCTTTGAAAAAGGAGTAAGAAAAAGTAAGAGCGATGGCCTCCACTCTAGTAGCAATGGCCTCCAACCTGCAAGAGATGGCCTCCAACCTAATTGCGATGGCAACTAGAACCCACTCCGAGCAAAGGATGTTGTCACATTATCCTGTTTCTTGCCAATTTGGCATTGATGACCGACCTTGCCAATGTCACGGGGGTCAATGTTTGCTGCATAAAATGACTGACCTTGAGGCCCGCATGCACAGTCTTGTCTTTGAGGTTGTGCGGGTGGTTGTCGCAGCAGTTTCGAGGTGTGTTTTGTAGAAGGCCAAGTTTATCAGTGAGGGTCAGGGTGGACTCCCCAGTTGTTTCTCAAAAGGCATGGTCCTCACATGGCTCCATGATTGTCCTCCATGATCCTTGGAGCTAGAGTCTCTACAAATAAACGGTCCGTTGTCCTGGGATTCTCTCTACTGAATGATCCTTTTCATTCCAGGGTTTCAGTGAGATCCTTTTCTATTTCCTAAGTCTGTGACCGCTGAATACCGTTTGTGCAGTCCAGTCCTCTTGGAATTTGCGGATTCCCTCCCGGTTTTGCGTTTAGAACATCATTTGACCCATTGCCACGGCACGTGCCACAATGAAGTGATGGGATGAGAGGTTACTAAGCCAAGCCAAGTAATTCAATCTTGACTATGAAATGGGTGTATCCAATGTCATTTGTCAAATGAAGCGGTGAGACCTGACGTCATTGGATTGTAGGGCTCTGATGTTTCTGGCTAAATCATCCCCTCTACGGCGGGTATCTTCCGAGCTTAAGCATAAACACGCTCCGACATTTTGATTATTTTGGCGTGTAAACAAGTCCTTTTACAACTGTTTTTGACTGCAAAAGCCGAGCATGAACATTGATCACTGCGAATGACATCCAGCCATTTTGGCATGTACCCCCAAAATGTGGGCCAACGTCACTTACGCGGACCTTCGTTTTCGTTAAAACCGTTGCGACCATGGGTTCGCATGTCACCAAGGATGAGCAGCCGCACGGAAGTCTCTGTGGCCCCTTCCCTTCGCAGTTCAATGGGGCACCCGCCTGGGTGCGGGTTGACGTGGAGGGGTATTGTTCTCCTGATTGTTTGATATGCAAGTGACCTAGGACCTTCTCAAAATCCCAAAGTTTGCTCTTTAAAGCCTTGCAAATCCTTCAGATATATGTCATTAGGTCTACTGGCCCAGTTGCGGTGGTGGTTGCTGTTGTTGTTGTTGCGGCTGTTGCTGCGGCGGCGGCGGCGGTGGAACAAATGTCTAGCGACGAGTCTAGGGATTCTAAAGATGTCCCGGAGCGATTCAGTGACCACCGGTGTTGGCCCTATTTCGCCCATAGTTCTCTTGCAAGTGACGATAGTGACGGCATTTGGAGCTGACCGTGGAATCCGCCGGGTGTTGGATCCATCTGGGTGCTTGCCGAGGGCACCATGCAGACGATCCGGGTCAAGCAAACTGACTCACTCTATTCGCAATATAACATGCACAAAGAATCCACGACCGTGGTAAATTTTTGATCCGCAGTCAAGTGTCGGATTGAGTTCCGAAGGGCACGAGTCCCTTCCAACCATCCTTTGTAAAGCAGGGGGTCCTGGCACTGGGCGGTCTGGGTCGAATTGCAGTTTCAGTTCGAACATGATCGGAACTATTTTTGGAAGACCCAGCACCTCTCCTTGGATCATGATTGAGCAGTATCGTCACTGTTCAGGTTTCACCCGTATTTTTGTACAGCTCTGGGATGCTTAGCCACAGGCTCTAGGTGGCTCCGGTGCAACCAGCCGGCTGGAGTCCACCCGAGCCGTGGACGGGGCCAAAGCCGAGGATGAAGAAATTCATTTTCTGAAGAAAAGGGTTCCTTTTGCTACTAGGAGCGAAGGGCATCGCTACTAGGAGCAAGAAGCTTTCAGGTTGCAGGCCATCGCTCTTAGGTTGGAGGCCATCGCTACCTAGGGTGGAGGCCATCGCTTATACTGTATATGAAGATTGTGAAGAGAATTTATCCTGGTACAACTTGGAAATTCATTTGCGGTCATAGGTCGGAGTGATGCTTGGCAGATTTCCCCCAAACGATCTGACCTAAAAAACATCAGATCATCCAGGCTTTGGTGCCGACTGGGCTGGGTTGTGTTGTCGCTCCTTTTGAAAGGCGCAGACAGGACAGGCCCAAGCGCTTGGTTTTCGGCAGTTTTCGTCAGACACGGGGTTTCCAAGCCAAAGAAGCGCTTCCGACGCACGCTTCATGCTGAGTCAGGTTTCCGGCTTCCGGCCCTTTTTGGCTGGCCTTTTTTGTCGTGCATGGGGTTTATGCCGTTCAAACGATGGGCATTCCTTGCTCCTATCAAAGCAGCATGGCTGCAGAGAGCTGCAAAGCTGTGGTGGTGCAGCTGCTTATGAACCATTCCCAGCTACGTTTCAAGCAGGCGCCCTTCGGCTGCGCTGTGCAGCGGTGCCTCAACGAGGAGCGATCAAGCTTCGGGTTGGTAAGTCTTGTTGTGTTTGCCCGTGTGGATCTGTCAAGGACTTTCCTTGCAATTGGGCGCCTGGATGCGGAATCCCCAAGGGCCTGTCGCACACCAGCCACTTGGCAGACCCAAATTAGCCAAGTGTGGGTTGAGTCTGGTGAAAGTGGGGGTTTGAGTCTGGTGCCGTTGCCTCTTCGTTTCACTTCACGGAGATTTTCTTCAGATGAGATATGATGAGATATCTGAGACTCTGACTTCTGTGTCGTCGGTTCGTTTGTTTGAACATACTCTCCACATCTTTGAGCCTCTCAGACGCGCAATCAGAAGACTTGAGGTTTGGCATGCTTGCGATCCTGTGGAGATCATGAAGACATGCTCAGGCTCTGCGTAGACGCGTGGACTGCCAGAGACCACAGAGTCACAGAATTCCAGGGCTTTGTAAGATGGAGTGACATCTGTATGTGTCCTTTCAAGACTAGTTGACTATATCATGTTATGTATGTGTGCATTCGCGCATATTCGCGCCGCGGATGGCGGCATGGGGAGTCGTGTGACCTCTCGGCTCTCCCAGCTATGCACCATTTTGTGATTTGCCAATCAATCGAGAACATGTTGACAGGCAGGTTGGCTTTGACTTCACATGTCAAGAGGCACCTTGTGCAGCGATTGGACATGTGACATTGTGGTATTGCTCAACTTGAGCTGATGAAGTGGCGGTCATGGAAGTTGCAGCGCCTGAGCATTTGAGACATCTCATCCAACAATGCCATCTTTTCGGTGTCCTCTCTTTTGGATGCTTGAGTTTGTGCTCTGCTTGTCAGATCACCGCCAGATTTGGATGCCAAGGCCAGTGCAAGAGCTAAACGCAGGGTTGTGTGGAGAAACGTGATGGTGAGAAGGATGCCACACACACATGCACACACACACACATATATTATATATAATTACCAGGGATTATTAAGTTGAGCTGGTTATGAACTTTCTACCCTTGAAACGGCGAGAGAGAGAGAGGGAGAGAGCCTGAAGCTGAACGAGGATGTGCAACCCAGTCACATCAACCGCACGGCGTGCAAAAACTCTGGCTTCTTGCATGTGGTGATTTAGGGTCACAATGGGCCACATCGCCTTTTGCCTCGCAAAGAACATTTGAGTTTGTCATGTAGTTGCTTCGTGTGAAGCTTTTCAGAACTCGTTTGAGAAAATGCCACTTGAGTTGAATCTCAAATCTGTTGAACTCACACCGGAACAGATGCTCAGCACGCACACAAGCTACTGGGGGCAAGGACGCTGCTAGGGGCTCCTGGCATCGCTACGAACTGCCTCTCGGCTCGTTCGGCCCGTCAGGGGATGCCCTGGCCTTGTACATCCCGGAATTCTGCCCAACTTGGTGCCAAAGCCCGGAGTGTCCCTACCAGTGCGACCGCAGCTGGCAAACAGGTGGTGAAGTGCCCAATCTGCAGCAGCAGAGGCAGGGTGAGCACTTGGCCCATTGAGTTGCAATCGCTAAAAGGGCAGAGCAAGACACCACCCTTTGAACCTTCTCGTAGTGTCACATGCCACTCGTCCTTTCCGGTGAAGCGGAAATTGGTGGTGTCAGACGCGTTTGTCTCTTGGCCACGTGTAGGTGTTGGACGCAGATTAAGGGTGGGGTCCACTGCTTGGATGCCATGAAACTGGGCCAGGCACGCAGGGCCACAGTTGTCACACACACACAAAGGGGGATACTGTAGTGTAGTGAATAGTGCAACTTAAGTTGGCAAAGGGTTTGCTGGGTTTCCAATTGAAAGGCTGCTCATCCAAACACTCAGAGATAGTCAGTGTAGACAGTAAGCAGCATCTCCCTCAAGCAGCTTTAGGCCACTGCAAGAGAAAGGTTCCAGTACTCGCTTTTGCGCAATCCTGCGTCTAGTCCTGGCAGGATTGCCACTGCAAATGCGCCAAGTACTATGTCCAATTGCAGGGCTTACTAGGGCGTGTGACTTGTCTTAGCAAATTAGTTGTTGGGCGAAGGTAGGTTGGAATTTGCGATCCAAAGCAGGTTCGCAGATGGAAGAATTGCAAAGAATATTGTAGACCGCCCAGCTAACTCCAAAGAGCTTTCTTGTGCTCGGTTGGTGCTGTGTTGTGTTGTGGGGGTATTTGCGCAATTTTATGCCCAGCGGCTGCCAGCGTGTCCTTGGGGGACCCAAGTAGCTCCTCAGTTGTTCTCTGAATGGGGGTTGTTAGTTTTAGGGGGCTCTAAGCCCCTTGAAGTTGGGGAGGGGACTGAAGCTTTCCAATGTTGGACTTCAGTCACTTAAGTCTTCAATTCTGGTCACTTCGACTTGAAGGTTCCTCCTCTGAAGGTCGACGAACGAGCAGAAGCGGGTTCGGACTGCTTTCGACCGATCCTTCATTGCCTGCTCAGAAGCCGGGAGCTGTTTCGGTGAGTGACAAGATCGAGGGGCGCGACCTGGCGTTGGATGTGAAGGCCTGGCTTTGACAGGAAGCTTCGAAACCAAGTGGTTTCATGATGCCCGAACCTCGGCCGTTGAGGGTCCTGCAGGTCCCTAGGTCGTCACACGATGAACGCGGAGTGAGACGGCGATGGGATAAGATCAAACCGAGTGTTCTGGGACCCCATTGGATGTGTTACATCCCCCTTTCTGAAGCAAAGAGAGACACCAAAGAGGATTGACGGATTGACCGTTTTCCAAAAGACGTCACGAAACAAACGAAGCCATGTCCAGATGCCAAGTGACACCCCATGTCCAGGGTGTAGCGGGGCGTCCGATGACCTTCGACTTCACTGGAGAGCGCATGCGCACTGATGAGCCGGGGAACGCACAAGGTGGCGGCATGCGCTTCTGGCGCATCCTGGGGTGTTACCCCTTGCTGTTCCCAAGTGGGCACACAGTCATCGGTCATGTGTGTCTGACAGTTGCCAGGATGGAGGTGGAAAACATGGCCAAACACCTGGTGTTTTTGGGGTGCGGGCTTTTGAGCCACTTGGCGGGTGACAATGCATCTCAGATGCCACATTTTTGGCATCTGTAGCTCATTCAGGGAAAACTGCTCGAAGAGACGCGGTGAAGGGATCATATATATATATAGTATATATATATATATATATATATTTACACAATATATAATATATACACATATTGCTTGCATATTATGGTTACACAATTATATCAACATTTTGGCTTCTTTGGCAATTCGCTCAAAAGTCTTTGCAACATTTCATTGCAACCAAAAACATCGATATATTGATGACGGACATTTGGCGATTCAACAGTGTCGATCCCAACTTTTCTCCGTTTCGTCTCACGTTTGAAGCTTCACCGCGTGGATCTGGGAGGTCCTCGCATGAAGATCATTGATGAAGGCGAAATCTGTAGCACCCTGGCTTTATTCAGACAGGTTCGGCAGGCGTAGTGCACAGTCTGACAATCTTGGTGGATGATCCCCCAACAAACTCGCATGAGGTGAATGAGGTGTCCTTACACATGTGGTCACGACATGCATGCTTTTTTAATGGGGGGTTCGAAGCAAAGAGTACATAGTGGGGCGCCAGGTCAATTGACAGATCAGGAAGGTGAGGGGAGGATGCGAATGGACAGCCAAAAGGTACAGCGCCCTTGGCCTTCAACATTAGTGGCTTGGAATGTCAGCAGCCACCTGGTGCTGATCTTCTTGCAGGTGCATCTGCTTTTGACACGTGAACGGAAGAGAATGGACCCTGGAGCTGCACCGCCGTGTTCTGCCAAGTTGAGTTAAGCTTACACACTGTGGTTCCCAGGCGGACCATACCATGACAAACCATAACAGATGCCTACTGTCCAATGCTTGGTGGTTTACGTTCGCTTCTGTGTGGTCTCATCCATGGGCCAGGCTACATTTGCACCACTCCACCTTCGATGGCGGCACCCTTCCTTCATCGCTGGGGTGGCATTACCATGAATGCTGCTTGCTTTTTTGTTGGTCAAATGAATTGAGGAAGAGGATCCATTCGAGCTTCTGCGCATAGCGTGATACGGTTTACCCTGAAAGCCGAGGCTTGCGGCCGATTCCAGCTCTGCCACTGTAATGAGTTGTGCGACGTCAAGTCGAACTGGGTCCGGGCAGGCTACCTGGAGGTCGAGCCGGTGCTGACCTATGGCAGTGACTGGGACGTGGAAAAGAATAGAACAGATGACTCCAGGCAGAACTCGATAGGTCGTCGGTGTTTAAATGGGCGGCAAGGCATTAAATGTCCTCATGTTGAGGCTCAACATGCAGTTGGACCAGGTGAATGTCGGGGGGTGTTGAGTCGAATCCTCAAGATGGCTCACTATAAGGGAGAGACATGGAGAGACCAGAAATGAATAGAACTGACCTAATGCTCCTCCCGGTCGGACTTGGAAAGGCAAACTTTGAACCAGTTTTGTTGACTCTGAGGCATGTCTGCCCCTTTGCCTGGCTGTGCGGCATATCTGCCCACGCTACCGCCGGTGGACGCGGGCGGTGGCGCTGGGGAGCCTTGGATGATCTGCCAGCGCGCCACTGTCCCGGATGATCCACGTAGACTAGAGACGTAGAGAGTCCAATCCTTCCCGGAACCTTCTCAATGGTCCATGTTCGTTGCAAGTGAATAGCGATGGCCTCCAACCTAGGAGCGATGGCCTCCCCCCAAGAACGCATACATGCAGGATAGTCTTGGTGCTACTAGTGGCATCCTTTCCACCATTACGATCATTACGAGTGCTCGATTGTCGTCTCGGGACTTTCTGCCATCGGACACGGAGGCTCAACTCGATTTGGTTCGGAGTTTAGGGATGTTTAGGACACGTTTCACTTTGGGTTCTAGGAGGGTAGGTTTGCTTGAAACAAACCACCCGATGGAATTCATCACCTGTTCATGTCGCTGAGGAGATCCTCCAGAAGACGCTGGTCACGACGTACGTCAGCATCGATGGTGGGCTGAGGCCCATGCCTCACGTGCTGGGGGCCATTGCCCAAAGCTTCGCTGTCTTTACGCAAGTGAGGCGAGGATGGTCCTGGTGATGCCTGGAACCTTCAGACGCTTCCAGGATTCAAGCTCATTCATGGACACTTGCCCTTGCTTAATCAGACTTCAGGTTCCAAGAGTGAAGATCATGGACAAGCATAAGATCCTTCTCAAATAGGAAACCCAAACTGGGGAGACCAACGGCAGGTCAGAGCTTTTGGATGCACTGGCGCCACGTGCAGCAGATGTGGCGGTCACAGACTACAACAGCAGCTCGTCCGCCTGTACTGGTCATTACTGGCCATGCCACAAAGTCGGCAGTCCCAAGCAGATGGCTGAATCGTGTTTGTTTGGGACTTCTGCGGGCCGTTTGGGACACTGATACGGTATCGTATTATATCAATATTTTCGGAGGCCTTGGCCTTGGCCGCGATGCCTCAGCCTGAGTGTTCCAATCGACCTTTCGCGGCCCAATGGCCATCTGGCCGCTGTGGGGCCCAAGATTTCAGTGACTGCTGGTTCGGTCCTTCCACACCAAATTGGGTCGCCACATCGATCCAACTGGGAAATATATATGCTTATAGTTAGTAATTCCTGTAATTACTTCCAATTACCCAGGTCAAATTCCATGATTTTGTGACTTGAGGTTCAGCCTACTGTGTAGCAACACCCCTTGCTTGGCCGAGGTATCTCTGACGCCCGCAGGCTGGAGATGCACATGACCTGGTAGGACTGCATGCGGAGCACCTCCGAAAGCGAACACGAGCACAGGGGACAGATGTGCATAGATAAACCAAGATAAAACGATATCCAGATATATCCAGCACTAGATTCAGAATGGAACCAGTGCACCCAAAAAGGAGTCCTTCCTGAGGCCTTTGAAGGGTGGATCCAGAAGCGTTAGGTAGATGACCATCCCGTTTTTGGAGGCTTCAAGGGTGTGAAGATGATGACGCGGCATTCCAGGAGGAGGCGGCCAAGGTGGGTCGAGATGACCATTTGAAGGAGCTGAATGAAAGCTATGGAAGAACGATTTAATTTCCGTTTTTTCCATACGAATTCATCTAGAGGAGCCATTCTGGTATGGATGGATGTTTGATACCGATTCAGATTCGGGATGCCATTAATTGCTTCTGCATGCACTGCGCAGGCCTCAGTGTCCGTCGCCAGTTGCCAGGAGGCCAGGGCATGGCTGGCGTTTTGACTCTTGCCAGATGGGTGACTACCTTTTTTTTGGTTATTTTTTGGAGTAAACATATAACTCATATAACTATACACTCAAAACATTGCAATCCTATGTCTAAACTTCTAAGCAATCAACGGTGTTTGTGATGCCCAAGTCACCCGCTCATGTTTCCGATGACACAGCTTTGGACGAGTCTGGAAGTAAAGCTGCCACCAGCCCACCCATTTTCTTTCTTGCAAACTGCTTGTTCACTTAGTAATTATTGGAGGCACCCACAGAGGGATCAATACCAGGTTGTGGTGCTTTTCTCATTGAGCAACTCTTTTGACCTCTTTTGTACCAATCAATGCCCTTTTTCAGGATTCTCAATGCAAAATTCTCGAGGATCTTTGTGACCTGTGGTCACTGACCTCGGGGGGTGGAAGGCTGTGACTTTGCTGGGCAGCGTGGAGCAAGTCTGCGAGGATCTCACCCTGGCGCAAGCGGTCGGGGCACCGGGGGATGAAATGGGATGAATGGATCGAGGTCGGCACTTGTCAAGTTTAGCTTCAAGTTATGCACAACGAAACACGTGTGAACATGTGTTCGCCAAATTTCGCCAAGACATGTGGGATCCTGCGATGTGCTTCTGGCACAGCACCCCTTCCCCCGCTCAATTTCAAGCACCACTTGAGAGCTTTCGTTTCAGGCTCTTCCAAGCCCACCCATTCAGCCTTGCAGCCGTACAGCTCGGCTCAACTGGTCAAAGATCACAGATCCATTTGAAGCCATGGATCTGACTTTCGTGAGTCTTCCCCAGCCCTCCCAGGTGCATTTCTGGCGGTGGCGCTTTGGATGTGAAACATCGCTGTGGCTGTCAGTGTGGCTTCATTGTTCTGGGGATGTTCCAAAGATATTCAGAAAAATATGGCAACGATTTCCAGGAACTTTCGCTTAGTCTTATAAGATGGCCTTCAGGACATCTGCCTGTTTTTGGTCTGTCCCCATGACCCAACCAACCTGCTACTTTGGTGGTTCTTCTGAGTGCTAGTCCATGTCCCGTTCAAACCTTTCCCATAGACCCTTGCAGCAATTCCCATGTTTTACCACCCCCTTTCACTCATCCCCAATTCGCAGGCTCCGCGACTGGAAGGGGCCAGCCAGGCGAAGCTTTACATGCCGGCAGGCAGCGTGGGCAGTGTTCTCCCAGAGCTGAATGAACATCATTATCCAAAAGACATCATTGGAGCATGCTTACGGAGGACATCCTGTTGATCCTATGATTCTGTGACTGGGTGGCGAGTCTAGATCCTACTGCAACGAAGGGTGGCTCCTCGTGCAGGTGCTGAAGCCTCCTGCTGGGCCACGGGTGCCACCTTGGCTGTGGCCGCGGTGACCATCTTCAGGCACGACGGGCGCTGGGCATGTGGGGCACCGCCTGCAGCTTGGCTCCCTTTAAGGTATTGCAGGGGGGAACCTCCCTCCCACCAATCCCACCAATCCATTCGTATCCATTGGTTCAAGGTGCGTCCCCACTGCGTCCCCTAATCTTGGGACTCAACCAGGTCATTGGCATAGTTGTGCATGTTCCCGCCATGCGAACTTGACAGCAGGGCCATGCGCCGGCGAAATTGGTCGCGGGTGAGCCTGGGCCCCAGCGGCGGCTGCTTCTATGACATGAAGTGACTCAGCCGCAGGAGACAGCTGGTCTACGTAGAAAGGTAGAATGCCCACCAAGTTTTTATCCCTTCCTGGCTGTAAATTCTTTCTATAGGTTATAGGTTGCCGTTTTGTCGTTTGTTTTTTTGACCTTACCTCAGCCGCTCAGCCAGAGAGAGGGAGAGATAGAGAGAGAGAGAGAGAAACTGAGACGGCTGAAAAGGCGTGAACAAAATGCACCGGATCTTCCTTGCGAGTTTGTGCAATCAACCTTGCATGCTTTTTAGTGACTTCGCGCTGACAGAGCAGCTTGGTAAGAACTTCATTCTAGACCCATGTCTCCGGGACATGGGGTTGGGGGCCTAGGACTTCAACGTAAGCGCACGCAAGAGGCAAGGAGCCCCTCTACAGTAGTTGCTTCTGATGTTGCGGGTATTCAATGATCTTACGATATCTGATGTAATTTCGATATGAGGAGCCCAACTCCAGGTCAATTGAATTTGACTGTGCGCCAACTTTGGCGCCAGACCGAGCCGAGCCGTTTCGACTGGTGTGTCGGTGTTGCTTTGTTGCTTCTGGTGTACACCCGTTGATGCAGATGGACAGTGGCCTCGCGCGGCTGTTTTGCGCCCCCCCCATCCGCCGTTGGTAGCGCTCTGAGCAGACCTCTTCGTCCTTTCGAGACTTCACAGGGACACCACTTCGAGACTTCACCGTGTCACTAGCCGGATGTCGGACTTCGAACCCCCCCACAGATCTGGGACATCAGTCCTGCAGCTTGGCGAGGTTCCGCGCAAAGCCCGGGGACAAGTTCAAGTACCGCTACTCCACAGATGCTGCTGGGATCAACCGATTTGACACCTAGACATTCTTATGCTCATCTTTAGGGAGCTCTGCGTTTTCCTTTTGCAGCTCATGTTGCTATTCAATCTCCATCCAGCTTTCCTTTTTTCCTCTTCCGTGCGCTACATGCATTCTAAGCCAAGCCTTGTGGCACTGCGCTTTTCGGTCTCGGTGTTTTCACGCGCTTTTCGGTCCGAGGTCTGGGAGCCTGAGTGGGGAATCATCCCGGAAGAGAAGGGCCGACTGATCAGGCGAGACGGAAGAAGCTGCTGAGCCAGTCCAAATTGGGCTGAGAGATGTGCTTTTAGATCTTTTAGAGAATTTGTCTAAAACCCTTGCCCCAGTCTTTTGCACCTTTAGCCCCACATAAAGAATCCTGGCCATGTTCGTGGGAATCGATTACTGAGAACCGCAAGCAAAAGGATCAAAAGGCTGTTCTGGAAAACCTCTCGGTCAAGCCGTCGCGGAGCCGAGCAGCACACAGCGCAATGAAGGATGATTAAGGATGATTAAGATATCATAGCGCTTTTTAAGGCCTCTTAAAGATCTTTAAAGGCTTTGGGGTTGAAGGATGTTTAGGCTATGTTGTATGACCAGCCATTGGCTTGGGATTCTCAGGCAGTTTTCGGTTCAATGTTTTCGGCTCCAATCCACGTTTTCCAGGTACGGCCAGCGATTTCGCAAAGGCACCGTGGTAAAACCAATGGTCGATGACGACGATGATGACGATGCTTGGCCAATCTTGAGAGAAATCAAATGCCCAGCAGACAGGTGACTTAGCGCATGAGGTGAATTGTGGCACGTTGTGCTGGGATGCTCAGGGGTGGAAAGGCAACGATGTCCATTACTTTCTTTGCCTGTTGTTCTTCGGAAGGGTCAGGCAAGCAGATTTTCAATATGCGGCAGGTGTGCAGAACTGAGCATCAATGTGCGTATCGTTTGTGCTTCTGTAAGCACTATGTAGGTGGTCAGAGGTGTCAAGCAGCTTCAATCCAGCCATTAAGGAGGGTTGGGGTGCGCTGGGTGGAGCTGGCGATGTGGGCTCCTTGCTTGATCTTGGGAGGGAGCGGGGTGATTCTTCAGGCTTCACTCATGATGATGTTTGCAGGGTCCAAGACAGGGTTCTGTACTATCTATCTTTCAAACACTTGAGAGTTTTGGTTTGCACAGCCCCAACTGATCGATTGGACATGTGAATGTCTTGCGGTGCAAATGTTTGCGCTCTGGGCAAACAGTTGGTATCGTGGTAGTGGGTGGAAGTCTCGCGCCTATCCAAACAATTTGGGCCTTTTCTGAACAGCAGGTGCTGCTCCTGGGCTTGAAACCGGCGGGATTCGGGGACCTATTGTTGGGGTCAACACGCAGCAAGCGCCCATCTCCACTCTCCAGAGCTTCTACCGCCGCTGCCAGGCACCGGCGCCCTGCTCCTGGACTGCGACGGCACGCTGGCGGAGACGGAACGTGATGGGCACCGGGTGGCCTTCAACAAGGCCTTTGAGGCGAATGGGGGTGAACATGGGTGAACCCGGTGAAATGTGTTATATATCTCAAAACGAACCCTGTGCCGCCATACCTTGTGAGATCACTGGTGCGAGGTGAGGATATACTGTTGACCCTAGTGAGTCAGTCTTTTTCGTTCGCTTCATCCCTGCGTTTTGAGGAGAAGGGCTTCGATGTGGAATGGGATGTGGAGCTCTATGGCGAGCTCCTGACCACTGGTGGAGGAAAGGAGAGGATGACACGCCACGTGGTCGAGTTCGGACTGATCTGGAGCGGACGTGGTTGATAAGAGGAAGACACAGGAATTGGAAGCCGATCCAAAGAGTGACACCACATCACAGAGTCAGATGCAGTTTGCTCCACATCACCACCAAATGCTAGGGCTAGAGCAAGTACATCCGACCCGAACAAGAAGAAAGAGTGTTCGAAGGAGATCCGCCATCTTGCAAGCACATGTGCAATTGATTACTATTGATTATGATTGGTTGTGAAGGGCTGCATCGACCAACTTGTTTTCTTCACAATCGTTAGCCGGTTGGCCATCGCTTGGTTGGTCTGACCCCCTTGGTGCTCCAGGTGTGCGGTGGTCACAACGGTCATGTCCGTCTCCTCATGCGAGGTTACTTCAAAGATTACAACCCAAAGGCCTGGATCTTTGAGGACCGGCGGTCGAACGCAGGCTTTGATAAGTCGATGAGTGCTTTGATGTGCTTTGTATTAGGTGGACAGGTCTCGCATGGTCTGGCAAATGAAGACATCTAGAGTCTAAAGTCTTCCGTCCAGGTCTAGGGATAAATGGTGGAGGAGCGTGTTTGTCTCAATCACTCATCATCAGGTTGATTCAAGTGAATTTGGTTGATGCCTGTGATTTGGGGGTGACCGGGTTGAAGCGAGTTGAAAGCGGCGGCTTCGATCCCAGGACCCTCCAGCAAAGGACCACCCAGTCATCATGGAGCTTCATGAGTTGAAGACCCGGATCTTCATGGAGATTGCGGCTCGACCTTCCACGAGTTCGGGTTCAGTCGTTGTTCGGCGGGTCAAGAAGACGAAATCGTGGAAGTTCCACCGTGGAAGTCCCAGGCTGGATGAAGCATGATGAAGCCAGTGGAGACTTTCTATGACCAGGTCTTCAATGGTTTTCTTTGAGAGATGTCCGCTGTACTAAGCTGGCACAGGAACACTCAGCAAAGACTAGGAGGGGTCCTGGAGGAGCTTCTGTTTGCAAACCCTCTGTATAGTTCTATCTGAAACCACGGTCTTCAGTGGACCCCTGTTGAGAATTGAAGGGTTTGCTACTTCGGATAGGCCCGGGCCTCTCTTGCCCATATCCCAAAATTTGCCGCATTTTGCCGCCATACCGGCAGCTCTAGCCCGTTGGTGGGAAGAGCGCATGAAGCCCTAATTTTTTGACATTATAGTCTTATAGTATTACAACTTCAGATATTCAAATTGCCAATCCTTCTACCCATGCCACAACCCCCAAAAAGAGCTGGTTGTCCCTTCATGGTTCCTGCACTCGGGGCCCGCGGCTGGCTCCCGGTATCGCGTGCTCTGCTCCGGGTAGTGATTCCGAGCGAAGCAGCTCGGCTCTGAGGTGAAGTCAGGAGACCTTCCCTTGCGTGAGGGCATCAAGGCTGACCTCTGCCGTCGGCTTCGGCCCGAGGTTTCATCAGGATGTCTAGGGGTGATAGCTTCATCGGGATGCGAGATGTGGGGATTTTGTTCGGTTGGGCTCCCAGATGCACACACACAATTATATATCGGGTCTACACAATTTGGATTAATTTGGCACATTTAGTTGCATACCTCACTATTTTTTGATTGCAATGTTACTTGTGGAAGGTCTATGGGTTGGTCCTGGAACATCCACTCCCGCCACAGGATTTGATCTCTGCAGCAGATGAAGCAGGAGCTAAATTGCTGGCGTTGCGGGGAAAGTGTGTCTTGGGGAGGAGAAGCTAAGGAGAGTCAGGGGACGGCTGGAACAACAGCAAGAAAAACAGCTTTGCTGAATGCACACTGTTCGAATCCTTTTGATCTTGGCATGTGTCTATGCACCGTGTATGTTGCACTGTATGTTGCATAGGACCATTAGTCATGTTTCCATTGAGGCACAAAAGGGATGATTAAAGTCACGGTTGCCCTTGGCCACCCAGAGTAGCAAGGCGATGTGGAATTCCCGCTGGGCTCACATCCCAGTTGAATTTGATATTAAGTAGCTTTTTGCTCTTGTGTTGGTGGCCCTAGGCTTTTGTCCCCTCACCTCTCAGGTGTTTTTGGTCTTGTCTTTTTTTTGGGGGGGGGGGGGGGTATGTTTTAACTGGTTTTTATCAGAATTGCTTGTTGTTGACCAGTTTGTTGCCATAACCAGAGTTGAGCAATTTGAATTGCTTGATGTTGGCAATTCAATTGCTCATGCCTGGTGTATAAAGTGCATTTCCCGCCACGCTATTATGGTCCTGAGAGATGCTGAGTTGGCTCGAGCAGGATGGCAGCTGGCAGTGTGCTCCACCAGCAACGAGGCAGGATCATGTGGGCGTCCATCCCAACTCGAGGTTTAGCTGGACTGTTTCTTCTCCTTGACCGTTGCACTTGCTAGTGTGCAGCTACTTTTGGCGTGGAGCATTGCCAGCTATGTCCCATTGACAAGGCCTGTCCCCATGCAGTCTCGAAGTTGTCGCCGGTCACCACCAGGACTCCTTCCTTCGGATTTCAGGCCTCTGTGACGGCGGTGGTCGAGACGATGTTGCCCGACTTTGCTCCCAAGATGCGGATCTTCGCCGGAGACGTGGTCTCCGCCAAGAAGCCCGACCCGGTGCCCGGGACAGAGCACCCGGAGACGAGCGGAGACCGAGCCGGACCAAGGTCTGTTGATGAAACGATCCTGTTTGGGAGATTTTGAGTAGCAAATCCATACATTGCACCGCCTTGTGAGTGAACCAACGTCTTTTGTTTTGGGGGTATATATATATATAGAGCCATCTCATGGGTCTAGATTAGATGGGACTCGATTATCCGAAGGATCAGAATTGGATGTTTTTTCTGTGTGGAATCCTGGAAGGCTGGTGTGTGAATCATTGCAGATTTGAGGGGGCGCCCTCCACTCATGAAAGGGAGGAGAATTGGATCGATGGGTAGAGGTTTACCATCATGTGCAGTCCACGTGCCTGAGTGTGCATCTTTCCATCGCTCCATCCATCTCCACCCTATTCATATTAGTAGTAATGCCAGGAGCTACTATATAGTAGCTTCTTGCTCCTAGTAGCGATGGCCTCCACCTATATATATAGTAGCTTCTTGTTCCTAGTAGCGTTCTCCTTCACTACACGCCGGAGGCCATTTACAAGTTGGCCTCTGAGAAGCTGGGTGTGGCGCCCATGCGCTGCGTGGTCATCGAGGACACTTCCATCGGCGCCACTGCAGGGAACGCTGCCGGAATGAAGGTGGGACGAGTCTTGAAGTCGATGAGGGGAGTGTGCCGGGATGGGGGATGGGGCAAGAATATATACCCAAACAGTGACCCAAACCTTTTGAACAAATCAGAGGTACTCTTTGGATTTTTCAATAGGCATCCACGGATTGCTTTGTTTTCTTGGCAGAATTGCGTTGATCGTATTTGTGCAACCGCTTGGATGGCCTCTCCGCAGCTGCATCGGCCACAGGTTTCTGTATTAGTATAGTGTTTGACGCCAGTAAAGATGCCTCGAACCCAACAGTGCACGCAGCACGACACCTCGATGACTTTTTCTTCGGACACGCTTTGTCAGACATTTGCAACATCCTTGGAAGGGTTCCTTGGCAGATTTCCCTTCCACGAGTGGTGAGATTGACCCATTGCGAAACCAGCTTGGATGAGTCACAAGTCGAGTAGTCGAGTACCATGTACGCCATGTATGCCATGCATCCGTTGCCCAGCGAGTCAGAAGATTTGGAAAGCAATCGAAGCTATGAGAGTGATGAGAATCTTGGTCCTGGGAAAGCCATGCTTCCCCATGTTTGTTTCGCTCGACATGTGGGGCAGCTGGAGGTTCCTTTTTTCGATAACTCTTTCGTACTATATAATCTATATAGTGGATTTGTGCCTCAGGCAGCGTGATGAAAACGCCTGACAAAGCTTTTCAATCGAGGCCCTTTCCTGTGGAGAAGGTGAGCCACATCAAATGGGCCGATCTGATGTCCAGCTCGCACTGCGGAGAGAGCTTGCGGGAGCCCTTTGGACCGTGATCCAGTGTTGATTGTGATGATCAGCAGCACTAGAAATTCATTCATCGTAGACCCCAAGAGATTCGACCTGTATACTACTTTTCTGCGGCATCTCCAGAGTCAAGAGTCAATGGTTCCTGATGATTCAATCTATTACTTATATATGGGACTTGATCGAACACCCCGTGTAAGGAGTTCTATATAAAACAGCCTTTCAGATGTTGTTAGAACCATCCGCGAAAGATTCGCGATGAGGTTCGCGAAAGTATCTTTCTTTTTTTTCGCGAAAGAGTTATCGAAGGACATAGCTTTCACATGTTTTCCTTTCTACCGGACTGACAAAGAATAGAAATAATAAATACAAGGCAATCCTCCGGCAGAGCAGGTGGGCAGAAGTGTCCCCATCTGTCACAGACTAACGAACTGAAGCCTCAACGTTTCTGTGCCCAGCCCTGGCAGTGCGTAAAGGATTCTCCGATTCCTGTCCCCACTGTCACAGACTAGCAACCTGAGTAGGCACAGCCCTGACAGTCAGGCAACGACCTGCAGCTGCTCTGACGGGCTGTGCCGATGTTTGCAAAAGTTATGGCTTCCCGAAAGCACCAGTGAAATTTCGCGAAAGATCCGCGAAAGTTTCGCGAATGTGCCGCTAAAGTCCAGGTTCCCAGCTTGAGGCCCCCCCAACATCCCCCAAGCTGCATCACCCTGTGTTGGTAGCTGGCAGGACGATTGGGTTGAGCTGTGCCTGATTCTATTTGGCACAATTGCCGCACAGAGTCTGCAAGTGACCTGAGTAGCTGTGGAAACGTTCAACCTTCTACTGGGTCATGCTGCAAGATGTCTGTCCCTATTTTGTGATGCTATGACATGTCCCCGCTCATGTTAGCTAGACTCTAAACATGGTTGTAGGACCATGCTCCGCGATGAGGCCGCGAAAGATCCGCGAAAGATATTTTTCCGCGAAGAATGGCCATTCCAGGATGAAAGAATATTGATCAACCACCACATATATATATATATGTATATATAGACATACATTCAATGAATGGGCATCTCAGTTGCTGGAATGTCTTTGTGTAGGTTGTGCTGCTTGTTAGACGGCTGGGAGGCAATTTTTTAACAATCCTCCCATGAGGCTGAACTTTCAGCATGTGTTGTCGCCTACTCAAGCCCCACCAGCAAACTCGCGTCCAATCATTCCCAGGTCGGCGCGGGACTATGCGCAGCGAGTTTGGCTGATGCAGATGAGGTCCCTTCTTGCCGAAACAAAGGAGAGTTTGGATGCTGCAGTTGCGTACGAAAGGCGCTTGGAAGAAAACAGGAGTCAACAGCGCAACTTGGCACTTTTGAGTGGCCTAAATGCAGCAACAACGTAACACCGTCCTGAGTAGTTGAGTTGGGGAGGCTTCAGAAAATAGAAGGATGATGGCTTTTAAGCCTTGAGGTTTAGCAAGCTTGTTAGCCAGTATATAATTAGTTTCTGTGGTGCCCATCTCAACAGTCTAGAGTTGGATGCCCGGAAAAAGGACCTGAAGTGCTCATGTGCTGCCGACGAGAACAAGAAGAATCCGAGAAGACCATCGAGAACTTGCGCGCTTCTGGGCTTAGGCTAGGAGAGACCAGGTAACATGGCCACGTGCAATACAGAAAAGACAGAACTTATTGGACTCGACAGGTTTCGAGTCTCGACATGTCTAGACCACACCTTGTCACAGGTTTGCAAAGACAAACATGTTGAGTCTCGTGCCTTCGTGCTAGTTTGGTGACATCGAGATGACCCACGAGATGACTCAGAGATGACGCACGCCCACATTGAATTGTGCATCATTTGGGCGTGAATGTTTTGGGATTCCTGGGCTGAGGCGAAGAGCTTTGAGAAGGGCTCGATTGAAGCTCGATGGTGTAGCGATTGGCTGGCGGAGTTGATGCTGGGATTGAGAGAGCGACACACAACTGGGTCATATTCGCAAGTGAAGCTGAGCTTTTCGTGGAGAGGAAACGATATGAATAGATAACCACCTGATTTGCACCAGCTTGATGCCTGAGGAACAAGATGACACCGAGCAGCTTCATCCAGTATGTCACCCTCCTCAGCACCGAGGACCATCAAGAGAACTTGTACATGTTCCTTGGAGGGGCCCTGGGGCCCTGGCACTCATTGCTTGGGCTGAGGCTACAGAATTCAATCATATTCAATCAGCCTTCATGCGCAGACATGACCAGCCTTCAATCAGCCTTCATGCGTTTCGCATCGAGATGCGCCGTGCAGAAAGGATGGCTCGTTTCTGGACGTTCGACCCATACCACATCCCCAATGGGTGGATGTCCCTGAGCCTGGGTGTGCCTTCTCAGGTTCATGAGTAGCATGTCGATGGAGCTCACCTGGTCACAAGTGCAAGCACGACTCGTGAAGATCGAGGCGGTGAGGCAAAAACTGCAGCAGGAAGAGTTACACCTTTGTGAATGGAAACCCGTTCCTTGGCCCGAACAAGTGAGAGATGATGGTCCGCTTGTGATGGCTTGAAAGCACGTGCCCATGACTCCCAGGACGCATCAGGACACCACCCTGACAGTAGGGTGACATATTCCCAGGTGGATGACTGAATCTGAATCTGTCATCCCGGAAACCGCGCTCTAAAGAACTCAGCCAAACGACACTCTTTCCATTCCATTCCATTCCATTCCTCCGGTTTAAGGAGAAAGGTGTTTAGCAACATGCGAGCTCGGCACTTGTGCAAGGGTGTATTTTGGGTTCTTGAGGTGTTGGATGGGGATGACTTCTCCATCCTCTTTCACCAGCCGATGGACTTCGGCTCCAAAATGGACGCGCAGGATTTCCAAGAATGTGACCTGACCGAAAGGGGGATGTAAAGAACAATCAACTCGACTGAGCATGCTCGACTGAGCCAGCAACCCAGTTAGCCAGCCACTAACATGGATCAACCACAAGCCATTAATAAACTATAGCACTATTGCATATAATAGAACGATCCAAAAGCTCATGGGAGCAGCATAGTAGGAACAAGAGGAACTTTGCATTGTGATTTCTCCAGGTGCTTTTTGAACGTGTGCCATGTGCAGGCATCCGAAGAGTCAGCAACAAGAAGTTTCCAAGATCTGGATGCTTTGGAAAGCTCTGGGGTGTTTTCTTACAGAAACTTTTCAGAAGTCACTTGGCACCAGGTGTTCGACCTGCATTTTTTGTTCTATGGTGTTATATATTTGTTGCTTTTCCATTTTGGATGTGACGCTGTGGCATTTTGGCCGCCACCTCTTCAAACCAAAGTTTTTTCTCAGAGCTGGAGCAGTGAGGTGATGTATCCTGCTACAAGTCCGAGTTCAGCATCACACCTTTGGCTCAACTCTTCAACTGCTCCAACCGAGACCTTGCCTTACTGCTGAAGGTGGGCAGTGGGCAGTTGCTTGAGAGGGGGCACCAGATTGAGCACGACATGACATCTAGTGCCAAATTGCAATAGAATTCGTGAGTTCCCTGAGAACAGCAGAACGTGTTTTAGTCCCACATGCAAATGCACTCTGATTTGAGGGGAAACAGCGTGTCGTGGGAGACGGACCACATTTCGCGAGGGTAATTGGAGGGCTACACTCATCTCCAAGTCTTTGCAACCCCCAAGGTGGATGGAACGTGTTGTTTTCTTCATGTTGCTCTTATTCCAGGAAAGGAGGTGGACGTGATCACCACCTACTCATTTGCATTCATTTGCTGTGGGTTTGCAGCAACCATCAGTCAGGACTCCATCCTACCACTGTCTGCATTTGAGAGAATCCATGTTGGTTGTGGTTCAACTAGATAAGTATAGAGCTTTGCATGGATTCCCCAGCATGCAGTGCTGTCCATCAAAGTTACTTGAGGGATTGCGAGTCAAAACATCGGTATGGGAGCACCCCGAGCATGCCCGGACCCCACAAGATTGGGGTCTGGGTGTTGATCAATTCAGCACTCAGCTATAGGAGGTGATTAGTTCGTGATTCGAACTCGGCCAGGTCTTAGCGGATGCTGGCCAGGACAGCCTTTGCTTTAACACGGTCTGTGCCCGCGCCATCCTGGCGGAGTGCCACAAACGCACGGCCCGGGGACACTGGGTGGACATCATCATCGACTTCCTTTACATTTGCATGTTGATACGTCGCCCGGTGATATTCAACTCCCTAGACGGCAACCGCGAACTCGCAGAATGATGCCTTCGCTGTGCCACCGGCGATGCGGCAAATGCTTTAGGATACTTCCACAAAAACCCTACAAAGCCGCCCCCCCAAGAGAACTACCAGTATATATACTGGAACCAGCAGAAGGATACAAGGGCACAGTGCGGGCTGCTTGCTGAATCTCTACAGGTATGTCCATGTGGTTGGAGACTGGCAACGATCCGGAAGCGTGGTTATTGGCCTGCTTCGCCCTGCTCAGCGTTTGGATCGCCGCATCATTATTCTTCAAGCTGTTCGGAGGCTTGATCCTCTTTTGTGGGAGCTCCGCTGGTCTGGCCGTGGGGTTCCTAAAGCATTTGTGTCTTGGGATTCGTTCAGAATCTGGTCGCATTTTGGGGCGCCCTTAGTGCTTGAGTTCGTCCCAAATTGCTCTTTGGCCCATTTGGCCCTCTGAAACTGCTTGCTCATGTCATAGGTCGACGGCATCAACATGACATTTGTGTGCTCTGAGGAATCTTTGGAGCGTGACCCTCACTGCTACAGAGGTCTTCTCTGCATACGTCGGTTGGCGCTTCATGGTTTACGCCTGCGTCGGAGGGGGTGTGGAAGTCAACGATGCCTGGGCCGCTCGGACTTCGGCCCGGTGGGTCACAGCAGCGGCGTTCGGCCTGGGTTGAGATAGAGTTGGAACAGCGAGCCATCAAAGACAACTGAGCCATCAGTGTCAGATATGCCCACCACTTGTTGGTCCAATTGTGGTATAGATCGCCCTTTCCTTCCCTTTTGGAAGCAAAATTGCAAGCAAATCAGTAGAACATTAATGGGCGGGCATGCGTGGGCTCAACCACAATGTAATAATGTAGAATCATCGGATTCTTCATTTGATTTTCATTCCATCCACATGCCAAGACTCGGCAGCTTGTCAAGCGTGGACCCACCTGGAATCAACTGGACACTGTGTTTAATTGACGTGTCTTTGGACCCATAAGTGCTGCCATTCCTGGATTCACACGCTTGTTTCAACCAAGGCACCCCGGAATTACAGGAGAGCATGCCATTACACACATTAAAAAAGCAAAACACGTAAACTATTTCCCCCCCCCCGCCAGATTCTGTTTGGGTTTGAGTCTTGACCTCCCACGCTCAGGTTCTCTTTCAGAAACATCCTGCCTTCCTCTCAGTGTTGGTGCTGATCCGTTGGACCCAGGTGGCTTGGAAGCAGGATGTGTGGTCCGGTGATGGATGCATCCCGAAGTGTGAATTGGAGTGATGGGCTTGCAACTGTCACATCATGGCTTCAGTTGAGGTGGGCTTTGGTTTGTTGCAGTTGCCGGGCATTGGGCGTAATATTGTGCCAGTCTTTTATGCCATCACACGGCCAGCTTCGATGCTTGGTGTATCTCGATCGGCTGGGAGGTCTGATCTGTGGTCCCATGAGGATGTTCTCCTAGCTGTTTTTCATTGTTTTTCAAGCAAAGCGGGGACTGTTCAAGTACCAACTGATGGATGGAAGTTGTGGTTAAGCTTGCCTTTGTCTCAGTTACAGAATCGGAGAGGGCAATCAGTTTCTCCAGGGCTGGCTAGCTCAAGTCATTGGAATCATGCCTTATGTAGCTGGGGAATGTGGGGCATTTGTAAACTGCACATGCAGTGAGTTCCCCGGGCAGTTCCGCCTCATTTTGACCATGCCTCGCGCGAGGATCAACTTCCTGTTTATCCTCTTCATTATCGTGATGGGATCTTTTCACGCATACTTTGTCTTTCCAATCAAGGAAAACACCGGCAAGTTCGACAATATCTTCAACGGCCCCTGCACAAGAAAAGGTGTCAAGGTAATTTGTGACATTTATGGTCCAATCTTCACTCCAGGACCCTTAGTCTAGTTCTTGTATTGCTACGAGAACTGCTCAGCCACAGGCTGAGGTGCTAAAGAGATAAGTGCTGATAAATGTGTCTTTGTCATAAGGAGGCTGGGCCTTGAAAAGGCGCCTTTCTGTCTTTTGCTCGGAAAGTAGTGCCACAGGAGTGGTGCGTTTGGCCGCCGTCAGTTAGTGGATCGAATATATACCTTGAGGCCACAAAAGGTTCAATGCAATTTGCCATGGTCAATTGAATTGTGGTCAAGAAACGCGTGTTGAAGCCATCCCCTTTGTCAATACTAATCCAGGACTTCCATCTATCAATTGGTCAATCCATCCATCCATGTATTTGTCCATTTTGGTCCGTGAGGTTTCTTAAAGATCTTCCGCTTGGAGGTCCTTGGTGACTTTGATTTAAACGAGCTGGAAGGGCTGAGCGAGACTTTGTCGGCCAATCTCTCCCATGGCCACTTGCAAGGTGACTTGGACAGAAGGACAGAGGGTGACTCCGAGCCACCCACGTCGGGATGTACTATATTTTGGGTCTGTCCTATTACCTGTAACAGTCAGTAAACACTTATCAGAATCACTATTTTTGGACAAAGCCTCTCCTAACCATCATCATCCACTGTTACAGGTGTATATATATATATACTGTAATAGGATAGACCCGAGCTCCATTTACATAAATAAATGAAACACATCTAACCAGGTGAGGGACGTAAAGAGCTCATGTGCCTCAAAAGAGTGCAGTTTGTCAGCGTCATTGTCGAAGCCAGCCACTCGCAAAACGTGAAGGGCCATTGGGTCATGGCTCTGTGTGTAGATTCCTAAAAGATTCGCCCCGAAGTCAATCCCAATTGGCTCAAAATCTCAAAACGCCAAACTGCACGAGTCGTTTCAAACACCTGTGAGCGCCCCATCGTTTGGCGCTTGTTCACCGTTGGACATTGAGTCGCTTTTTTGCACCGTAGGCGAGGTCGGGGAGGAGGTGCGATCTCACATCCATCGTTCCTTGCGCTTGGAGTTCCTGGTGCTAAGCTTATTGGTGACGGTGGTGGCCATGAATGTCTACATCGGCCTGCTGGGGGAGCTGTACTCTAAGGCCAAGAGGGCATTTGATGTCCGGAGGAGAGCAAAAGAAATGTAACGTTCAAACACACAGACACACAGACAAACACAACATGCAATGTAATGTGCACACGAACCAGTAAAATCCATGGTGATTGTTGCTCTATGAAATGGGGATCCTTTACCTCTATGATATGGGGTTTCAGGGGCTCATCTCATAGAGCAGGGCCAGCGTCGCAAACGAGCATGTGACCTGAAATGCCATTATATAGAAGGAAGCTGGTGATGTTGAGTAAACATATATAGATGGATGTTGAAATTCCATTTCATAGTGGATCTGAGGTGCCTTGTTAACTTGGCTTGTGAACTTGGTTCATGGATGTTAGAATTCCATTTTATAGAAAACCAAGAGGGCTTCCAAGCCACACGAGAAGGCCTTTTTGAAAAATAAATCCTTTTTGAGCTGAGCGGTTATGTGCACAATGTCATTTCATAGAAACTAAAGAAGATGTGCTTGTAGTGAAGTGCACCTTGTAGTGCAGTCGTGCGCTAAAGTTTAAGTGATCTCATGTCATTATGATATTTGCTTCCAAGATGCCCGCGCACAGGAGCCAAGTGCATAGAACACAAATCCAAGCCCTTTGATCAGATAGAATGCGAGTCATGATGTCGGAGAGAAGAGAGAACGATCGATATGTTTTGTCAGCCCAATTGCTAACAGCTTTTGCTTGGAACATCCACATGGGTGGCACTTTCTGTGTCCATGTCCACATGACACGAGCGTAGAGTACAGATGAATAGATGACGACGGAAACCTACCTGCCATGTTCTCAGTCTACTGATTCTAGTGGTTTGAGTACGAGTGCCTGCGCGTGGAATGTTCAATGCACTCCGGGAGGGGTTGTCATAGGAGTGGGGCCATCAAGTCCACTATGGAGATGAAGTTTTTGTGGGCGGACATGGGCATGTGGCATACATTTGGCCCGACAATGGGAAGCGGTGGGATGTTGAACGACTGGGGCATTTTGAGCAAGCATCATACTCTTCACCGGCTCAGGCAGTCGAGCGGAAGAATAGGCTTTACAATCACTACTTGGCGGCGTCGGCTTGCCGATATCTGAGTCGCTTGGTGGGCTTCCGATGGTTATGTTGTGGTGGCCGCTGTAGCCAAAGGCCCACGGACAAAGAGCCTGGCCTTGTATGGTTGGCTTATCGCCGAGAATTCTTGTTAGACTCCGCAAATCCTGAGGAGTGTTGAGAACTTTGGGCGGTCAAAGCGCCAGGCACAGCTAACTCACGATTCATTTAATGAGTGGGCTAGAACTGCTGAGTACAATTGGCAAAGCAGCTGCAGCACAATCACCTAGACTGCGCATGGTTCTGGTCAAGTTCTGTGCCTGGCCCACGGCTTCTGCCAAGGGTGGACTGAACATGGTTTCTCCCGCAGAAAAGGATCGCTCAAAAGTAAACGGCAGTGTGTCATCCGCAGTTCTGATTGACGTAAGCCTTCTCACAGCCCAGAACTAGAGAAACAGAACAGACTGCCTGACTGCTCATCGCACCCTCCCAGCTTCATGAACTGCTATGCAGGTTGTGGTCACAAAGAGTGTCTACACTGCCAAGGACGTGTTGCCTTGTTTTTGTCTTCACATTTTGCTATATACATTTTGTTTTAAAGCAAATTGTCACCGAGGATGTTTGAAAGAAGTTCACCACAAGCACCCACCCAGCAAAAAGAGCAACAATTCCCTCCCTCTCTGCTCCTCCCTCCCTCCCCTCCCTCCCTCCCTCCCTCCCTCCCTCTCGCTCTCTCGCTCTCTTGCTCTCTCGCTCTCTCTCTCTCTCTCTCGCTCTCTCGCTCTCTCTCTCTCTCTCTGCCTCGCTCTGCCTCACGTTCTCTCCATCCCATCAGTGGAAGCTATCAACGCGTAAACTCTCGAGGGTCCAATACCTTGCAGTTCTGTCTGGTTTTTGCTGCTACTCAATCCTGTTCAGCTTCTGCCACCGAGGGTTCCTGTCGGTGTGACCACCCCCCAAAAACATTTGCGGTTAGATCACGCGAGGAGCTTTTCAAAGATGCCGATATGGTGGTCGAGAACGCTGCAGAGCTTGACTTTCGGAAGGACATGGTTGCCAAACTCTCCGGTTGGAAGATTGCAACTTGAGACCCAGAATTTGAAGCAGACTTGCCAGTCTTGGTTGACGACCCTGTTTGTGCTTGGCAAAGCTGGAAGTTCTTGGGCTTTAGTGGTAGGTCATCGCACATATTCGGCTGTGGGTCAAAACCTGGAGCCCCAAATCCTGGTGTATTGACATCCCTTGTAGAGGAATTTGTCATTTTCAGCGGTCAACCAGGGTTACAGGGCTTTGACCCACAGCCATTTGACCCACAGCCACATATAATATATATATATATATTATATGTATAGTTAATTATATACTATAATGCATATGTACATAATATTGACCTACACAACACACCCACACACACACAAACATTATATATTGCTCGGCAGGGGAATGTACATGCAGTATATTTACATTTTGTGAGGTCCAGAAATGATTCTCTACCCCTTTTTGTCCGATGTTGAAGGTGAAGGCGCTGACAGCACCTTTCGGCATTGTGAGCGTGCAAGAGCCATTGGTGTTGAATCACGGTCATTGGAGGGACAAGGCACAGGTGCTGGTACCTTAGCCTTACTTTATTTTTTGGGGGCACTCGTTGGTGCAAAATGAATTATAAAAAAATATATATACACACATAGTAGCAGTTTGTCTCTGTCTACAGGATGTTGCTGCTTTGCTCCCTGTCTTGGAGTTGGCATGAGAGGGGCAGATTCTGACAGATGCCAGGAACAATGGCGCCCTTTCTTCTCAAATTTCTCCGATCCTCTACCAAACTATTGCGAGAAATCTGTGGCATATATATCATCAAATGTGCAATCTCGTTGAGGAAGGGTGCAGGAGTCTCTGCCAGAACTCACTTTCGCGAAGGACTGCCGCGAGAACAAAAAGTGAGGATCAGCTGGTTGGATGGTTCCTAACCTCACGCCCGAGGCAACCTTTCACATCTCATCGCAGAGTTTCTGTATAGCTCCAGTTTTGGGCAAAGGCATTGGATCCCCAGCCCCCTAACATGGCCGAGCTTCATCAAACTGGCTTGCAACTCTTTTCCAACACTCAGGTCCTGGATGGCTGCCGTTTGACCTGTGGGCTTTGCGTCTCGCAAAGCGTCACCAGCACCACCGGCTCCGCTGGAAGCGGCACGACGAAGCCAGCCACGACGAGCCCAGACCGCAGGTCGACCACCAGGCATCAGGCATGAGCTTGATCATCGTGTGAGCAGCCGAAGATGTCTCAGGATTTAGATCCCTTTCTTTTCGGTTGGGGTGACGTAGTGACCGTGAAACTGGGGACTCAATTGCTGGAGTCACATGATGTACCCATCCTGGCAAGGGCGTGGGCGGGGAGCCAGGGAGGTATCGAAAAGGGCTGCCTGCTTTTTCTCAAGGCTTTCATGTGGTTCCTTCTTACCTCAATATATGAATAACTATGATTTGAGCATAATTGAGCACAAGATGCGAAAGTCATGCACTGAGGACTGAGCTAGCCATCCCCTGGGCTGGGGATCCTGATGGCCTGCAGCTGGTTGTGGTCATTACGGCTCGCACCAATGTGATCCGTATCTTGGAGATATGCTTCTTCTGTGCACTGGCTGAGTTGGGGGAGTGAGACCCCAGTGTTGCACCTGTAATGGCATGGCTACATTTGCATGGCGCACCACCTCAGGTTGAGTGGTTCTTGAGGTTCGAACACGAAAAGTTTTGGGTCTGAAGTCTGAAGGGTATTGTGCGATCTCTTCTGATGGTTATGCTCACGAACTGGTTGTGAGACAAGGCACCATGGACGAAGAGCCAGCTGGGCCAGAGGGTGTAGGACATCTTACTGGAATCAGTTTCCTCACACGAGGCACGGACGGAAAGTGCTAAGAAACTCCGCTTTGTAAAAGTTCATCCACTGGGCTTGAAAATTGTCTTGGCGGACGTGAGATGAAATTCAATGCGACTATATGATACTATATGGGACTCAGACGGAGTCATGCACAGCCTGCACGTCCTAGAGTCAGCTGAGGTGAGGCCGTGGCCGGGCAGATTGAGCGCCTGAAAACGGATCCTCAGCAACTCTTGCTGGAGCTCTATGATCAGCTGGAGGCCATTTTCAGCAACCGGACCGTTAATTCAGAGCCAGACCAATGGGGTATGTGTGTAGAAGGCTGTTCGTGCAGATTCCTACGAGCCTTTGGGGTTTGTGGAGCCTCTTCCTGTGGGGTTCCTGGCAAAGTGTTTTCCTTGTTCTCTCTCCTTTTCCTTGATGCCGCACTTTGCAGAGGTTCGTCAAACCGTGTTTGACATCGAAGACCTTCGACGAGTCGGGGCGGAGGGTTCGCAGTCTGCGCGACGATCCAGGATCTGTTTGGGGGTATCCCATTCGTTCTACCTGTCATCAAGGGAGCGAAGGGTTGATGCCTAAAGTCTAAAGCATGTCAAAGCCATGGGAAGCCCATGGAAAGCTTGCGACGTTGGTTCGTCTGTCAGACACCTCGTTGCTCCTGCCTTCATCCCAGCCGTCGAGGCTGTGGGATTATCTGGTGCCTCGATTCCAGGCGCCCAGGGGGCGGGCACAAGCTGCTTGAGGGGATGTGGACTTGTGAATCCTTTGTTGAGATGATTACACTGGAATGGATCACTGGACGGACCAACTAGCCAGCTGAGAAGAACTGAAGATCATCATTTCCCCGCGGCCATTTGCAGGGGTTGGGTGGCTCGTGTGAGTGGCTCTGGTTTTAGTTTGTCGCAGCGTGATATCGGTGTGGCTTAATTCGGATTCCGATGGCGGATTTGCGCCTGGAGAAGTTGGAAGAGGCCAGCTGAAGTGGTTGAAGTTGGAATGTTTGGTGGGGATTGATATAATATATATATATATATACACATATTTGCTTGGGGCCCCCGATTCGTGGGCATGAGGCAAAACAGACATCCCAGTTGTTCTTTTCGGTGTTTTGAAGGCTCCACACATCGAACTTCTTGGGCCATCAGGGAGGCTTCCAAGTCGCCGAAGAATCCCAGAACACTTTGCTGGGTATGACCCCAGCACTGCAACTATACATCTATATATGCAACTATACCTTGGATTGTGTGTTTTTTTCCCGCAACTGCTGCAAGACATGTCATTTCAAGAGTTCCTGAACTGGCCCTTGGAACCATAACGGGCCATTTTGCACCATTTGTTGCTGCAATTGGGGACCGTGGTGTAGAGGATTCTTTTCGCCTACAATTATGAAACCTAACCCACACACAGAAGAGGTTCGAGAGATGAACAATACAAAAACACATCAAAATACACACAAACACAAAAACAAACCTAGACTCAGCCCAAAACCAGAACTCCAAACCAAACACGAAAACACACTCAACTGGAGACTCAAGTAGCAGAAGGTTGAACAGAGAAAACCAAAAATCCGGACTCAGCAAGAAAGGATTTGAGTCTGGGTTTGAGTCTGGATTTGAGTCTGTCTGTTTTTTGAGTCTGGGTTTGAGTCTGGATTTGTTATTTTTCTGAGGTTCCAGCCCACCCTAGCCTAGCCCCCCAAAAAGCAGCGGGTGACTCAACACCAAACTCAAACTGGAACTCAAGCACTTGAAACACACACCAGACTAAACAATTTATTCACACTGTTGGTTGTTTTTTTTGTTTTTTACTTGACTCCTTGCTTGTTTTCCTTCCATACAGTAGACCTGTTCTCCTGAGTGTGGATTTGTTTTTCCTATTTGTTTTTTGGAGTTTTTTGTTTTCTGCTTTTTTTGGGGCTCTGTGTGTTGATTTCAACTTCATAAGATTCATAAGCCTAAAAGGAAGAAGATGAACGAAAGGAAGGTAGGGGCCCGTTTTAATAATGCACCTTATTATATAAATGGGTCCTCCAATTGCTTTGTTTCAATTCTTGGTGCTCATATGCAAAAAACAACACCCTTGGCCCTTGGCCCTTTTTCTGTTGAGTCAGGTCACGTTGACATGCGTCTCATGCAGCTCAGCTGCGCATGCCAGGCTGTGAAGCAGCTCAGCCAGAATGTGGCGATGCAGGAGGAGCTGCCGGCAGCCCAGTAGTCGAGAGAGAGAGAGAGAGAGTGGAGGAAGCACCGCTGAACGAAAGGATCGAATGCCACACATCTCCCATCAGGAGACGCCTTTGGATTTGTCCACTTTTCATTAGCAACCGGCCAGGTCCACCACATGATGTGAGATCATCCTGACCAGTCAAACCCGAATGTTGCGACGGATGTTTGAGGAAGTTTGGATGATTCGCCTAAGAGAAGGCCTCACATTTCCCAAGAGAGGGCGGATGAGGGCAGGAGAAGAGAACGCAAACAGCAGGTCTGCAATTGTACTGTTGAACAGTCCCTGTCAAGATGAGCTTAAATACGCCCCACAAATGGACCCATGGGTTCTGATTTTTTCACCTTCCCACAGGGGTGATGGTTTTGAGACATGCGGTGTTTGTTTGAGGCGCCAACTTCGAGAGCGGGTGGCAATGCTAGAGTCGCAGGCGTCGCCTGTCCATGATGTTGAATGGCAATGTTTTCTGGTGTTAAGGCTTATATAAATATATAGCTCATTATAATAGCTGCTCTATTTGCATTTTAAGGAATCCGGAACCACTTGGATTGGCACAAATTACGTTTGGGAGATGTTGTCCAGGCTTTGCATTTGCATGTTGCCTGATATTACTACTAGTAACAAGAAGCTACTAGGGGCTCCTGGCATCGCTACGAACGGAGCAAGGACGCTACGATCGGGGCTCCTGGCCGTACTACTAGGAGCAAGTAGCTACTAGTAACAAGAAGCTACTAGTAACACCTTATGTATTGACCACATGGCCACATGCAACCTGCGTCATCGACCCTCCAACCGCGCAGGCGAAGCTACCTGCCAGTGAGGAGAGGCAAAGCGAGTCCCTGGCGGAGTCGTCTGACACTTGACACGACAAGCCGCAGGATGGCGCTGATGCTACAGTCACCTCCGTCGATCCTGTAGCCCAATGACTCACCTGGACGCCCGACCACTGCGAGTGCCGGGTGTTTGCGATCTGTTCCGCTCCAAGGAAAGCAGTATGGCACCAGAATGTTGTGAAGCTGGGATGGCTGGGCACCTTGGTGTCTCCGGGCTTGTGGGAAGAGGATGCATGCCTACAACTTGGTAACAAGATGTGTCAAGATCGTGACACAGACATAGCAAACATCAAACTCTGCGGTAGGTTATTTAGTTGTCAGTATATGATTATGTCAGTATCTTAAATTTGTGCCGGAGCAGGTTTGCCTGCCTCGTGTGTGAGGCATGTTCGCAACAGTCATCAAACATTTCATTTTCCGCATGAATGACACCCACGGAGTGGCAAGTTGCTGGTCTTGATCGGCTGCGTGATGCCCCCAAACATCCCGCTGCCCAGGGACGGCCCAGCGGCCCAAGGTATGCCAAGAAGGCAAGTAAGAGCTTGCGCGAGTTCCAAGACACTCACACGAGCTTTACTTTGGTGGAGTCCTTCTGGGATGCCACGCTCTTTGCAGGACGGCCGTGCTGGGAAACACACGGTATGTGAGCGGTACCGGTTGTAGCACCAGCGCTGGGTATGATGTTGGGTCATGTTGGCTCCCCATGAGGTTTTGTACACCTGGCATTTGGTCACGTTTGCCTCAGCAACCTTGCACCGTGATGCCTCACCCTCAATGTTCAGAATCTCAAGGATAAAGGAGCAATTGAAGCTTTGCAGTGAGTGATTCAGGGCTTTGGTGGCAAGGAGGCAAAGAGTCCTATCCCCAACATGTCTCCAACATGTGTCATTTACAACGTGCCGTGAGGACTCGATGAAGTTGGACTGGCAGGCGCAGGGAGAAGGGAGAGCGAACAGTGTGAGAGCACGACGTGTGAGGTGATGTTCTTCTGTCACTCTGTGGCGAACTCGTTCGGAGGTACAACAAAAACGCGGGTTATGACCTCCCCTGCGGACTCCCCCCCATCACCGCAAGTTGGCGGAGGATCCTTCATGATCTTCTTCGGAGTGTCAGCCGCATGGCGCAACCGAAGCAAGTGACTTGCGGAGGGGTTGATCTCCGTGTGCATTGATCAAGCGCTTGCCCATAGAGCCATAGAGCTTTTGCAGATACTGGTCGGAATTCTCGGTCCGTCCTCCGTGGCCCCAGACTGCGAGGTTTTGAACACCTCACCGGTAGAGTTTTGCCAAAAAGAGGGAGAGAAAGAGTGAGAGCCTGTCGGGCCCGACAAGGATGATAGCCTAAAAGGCTGGGCGTAGGTATGATGGCCCTAACGGTTTGGCTGGGGCAGATGTGGGCAATCAAGGTGAGCTTATTCTTGCAGCTGCTCTTCTGCTACATTTTGATGAGTCGCTGAGCTGTGTCTGGTCGTGGCAGTTCAAGCAACTAAACTTGCCGTCAAAATCCTTTGGAGGAATTGGAGTATGAATGGGACTGGGTAACTTGCTGTCATGATCTCGTCATTGAATTGGGTGCTTTCCTTGTTTCTTCGGTGGTGGGGGTCTATGGCAGTTGAGTCTAGAGGGACAAGGCAGTGTGAAGGGTGGTCTCTAAGAGTGATCTTGAAAGAAGGCGACCAAGCCACACTACAGAGAAGATCAGAGAAGACTGTGAACGCCAAGGATGCTTCACTACTGGAGATGGGAAGTACGCCTTGCACCTGGGCTCAGACTTGCTGGTGGCGTCGTTTCCACAGTTGTTGCTGCAGATGTCTGGTGCCCAAATCCCGATCCCCATGAATCATTGTCCAAAACGCCGCCTGGGATCATTATGATTATCATTATTCTGATTCTGATTATGATGATAGTTGGACAGTTGAAGTTGGCAGCCGATCCTTACGGAGGACCCTTCGCAGGTGCTTTCGGGAGTAAGTCCCCTAGTCCATTGGCCCCCTGGTCCTTTGGCCTCCTGGTCCTTTGGTCCCCTGGTCCTTTCCTGGTCCGCTGGCCTCGTGGTCCATTGGTCAAACGGCGCGAGATTTGTAAATTTGTGAAAGTCATAATGTTCTATAGTGTTATTTTGATATGTTTGCAAAATTGGCGGGAACTCTGAAGACAAAGACCTATTAAATTAACTTTTCTTGCATGGAAGAGGGTGCCGCGCTCTCCCCCTTTTCACTGGTCCTTGTGTCACTTTCTGGATGCCCTTCATGGATGGGGCGGGCAATGTGGCGTAGTTTGCGGTGATGATCTGACCCTGGTGGTGCCTTCTGACCGTGGTGGCTTTTGATTTGTCGTTCGCCGTGATGGGTAGGTGCCCTCCCCGCCACCCCACATCTCCACACCAAACATTGCAACATCTTTGTTGCCCTTTGGTGGATGATGCGGGCCACCTTTGTTGCGTCCAACACTTCTATCATCTTAGTTCTATCCTTTGGTTCTGTTTTGGTTTTCGTTGCGCGAGGGGCTGCCTCATCCTTTTTGTCGCCGCCCCGCTGTCTCTTTCTTGGTTCCTTTCTGGTTGCTCACAGGGAGCACTTTTTGATGATCTTGTTTTCTTTTCGATCCCCATCATTGTTTTTCATTTTATGTTTACTTTTTAAATCCCTCCCCCGTTTCCTTCGCTGAAGCTTCGCAGCACCCGCCTCGGGTCGCCGGAAGTGGCCTCAGGGGATATCTGAAAGACTGGCGGATCCTCTATGGTCACAACGTTGACAGTTACGATGAGACTTCAGGCTATCCGGGGAGTTGAGGAGTTGAGATCGAATGAGCACGTCCCATCTGCGAGTTGCCGCTCGTTTGCGTTGCGTGATGTTAATTGAGATGAGAAGATTGGATCAGTCAGTTGAGGTGGTGATGCGTCTCGAGTTTGGGGTGCCAAGTCAGCCAAATGACCAGGTCATTCGTGGTAGTTCGAATCAATTTATAAATAAGGAGACAGTTTTTTTGACACCGTTTCTTGTGGTCCAGGGCAGCCTTTTTTTTTTGGCGTTGCAACCTCAGTCAACTAACATCATAGCAAATCATATCACAGAAGTTTGGCAAATAGCTGTGCACTTCTTCGATGAACTCTTCTACTCTGAGTATCTCTGGGTGACAGTTAAGACCTTTCTCAAGCCTTGCTGAGCCGCCAGGTGCGTCCTTGGTGAGCAAGATCTGCGATGGCAACATCTTTGATCAGACTTTTTGGAACAATGCCTTGCTGTCTGAAGTCAACTTGTACTTGACGGAGGTGTTCCCTCAAGCTCCAGGCCCGATCGGCCTTGCAGGTCGGCTGCTAGATCGGTGAGACGGACACAGTTTGACACCGTTGCACGAGCATGACACTCCCCATGGCATGGAAAATTCGTCGCTACCTTCCAAGGATTCCACTTCGTTAGTGAGTTGGGATTCCACCGCAAACCATCCCACTGACCCACCGAGATGCCAGGCCTCAGTGGTCTCACCGTCGGGGTCGTGCTGTGCTCGATGGCCGTGCTGATTTGGGCCACTTGTTGGCGCTCAGTGGGCAGAAATGAATGCAGGACACAGAGGACACAGCGCTTTCCAACTGTCCGGTGATATGTTTGAAGTGTTTTCAGAGGAACCTGGAAGAGATCTTCCAACATCTCCAACTGGCAGGCTGCCCCGCCGAGCAGACTATTAGTGACACTATAGTGCTATGTCACGTGTAATTTACGCTGACTGAGTGTTTCACGATGTCGCAAGCAGTTGCTGAATCTGCGTACTTTTCCATCACTTAGCTCCAACACTTCCCACTTAGCTCCAACACTTCCTTTCCTGACCAGAACCTTGTCGCAAAAGGCCAAGGCCGGCTAAGCTTCCCAGAAAATACGGTGCCACACCAGCGACCATCAGGGAGTTGTGGCACTGCACATTCAAAATCCTAGGCCTGCCACATCAGTTTTGAGCTGCAGAGCGTGGGCTCCTTCGGAATGGCAATTTGCCACCTGCCCCGGGGGAACACGCGAGTTTCAGAAGACAAGGTGGGAGTCATGAAAACATGCATTTCATGTGTCACCAAAGCTTGGCATGGTATGGATATGTGGCATTGCAGGTAGGATCTTCACTGCAAGCATGGTAGGACTATCATTTGAACCTCCTATTTGGTAGGGCTGGGGCTGGGAGCTCAAGCGGTTTAAGCGGTTGTTGAAGTTCTTCTCAACCTGTTCATTAAGGAGGAATATGTCTAGAATCCAGATTTGGAAATAAGCTTTCCTTCAAATGAAAGCTGTTTTTGCAGCTGAGAGAGGACAGTCACAGAGAAGTCACTTGGATTTGAATTCCAGGGAGCGGCCGATTTGTTCAAGATAGATCAATCATTCTCTCCACGTTTTGCAGGGTTTTTTTTGCCCTCATTTGCCCTCCTCACTTACTTATATCGTCTATAGTCTATAGTCTATAGTTATGTATTATGAGGCTTACGCCTGACAGCCGGGCGCCGGCCTATTTGGGTTTGGGTATGTGGAGGGCTGGTTCCCCGCTCTCTCTCTCTCTGTCTCTCTGTCTCTTTGTCTCTCTGTCTCTCTCCCTCTCCCTCTCTCCCTCTCTCTCTCTCTTTGAGACTTGGTGGGGCCTATATTGAGCAAAGTTAAGCTATCTGGTGCGCATCTTGGCCCTAGGCTGGGCCAAGTTGCGCCCATGTGGTCTATGTTGGGCACATCTTGGGCCCAAGTTGAGCCTATGTTGGGCCTAGGTTGGCCTATGTTAGGCCTATGTTGGCCTAGGTTGGGCCTATGTTGGCGTATGTTGGCCCCATCTTGGCCTATGTTGGCCCTATGTTGAGCCATCTTGGAGGCTATTTTGGGCATATGTTGAGCATATGTTGGCTATCTTGGGCCTATGTTAGGGAAATGTTAAGCAACTTATGTTCCCCACACCCACGAAATGTCGATTAAGCCTGTCCGCGCGGCACGCATAACTGACACCACGGGCACCCTGTCGTGGACGCCGAAGGCCACGAAACACTGTAAAAAACGATGTTTTTGAACCTTTCTCGAACATCCAGCGCAAGATACATATAAATCTGTCGGGCGGATTTGGTCGGGGGTCGGGCGGGGGTATCCCTGCGGTCGAACAAAAGGGTCGGCGGCAGGGGCGGCGAGCGTATATAACCTTCGGTTACCAACCGAAGGCCTCCGGCAAGGGAACGTGCGCGTGGCCGGCGCCCGGATTTATGAGGCTTACGCCTGACAGCCGGGCGCCGGCCCACTAGGGTCTGTAAACAGTAGAATGGAGGCGGCGCGATAAACGATCTAGGTATCTTTTGCTGTCTCTCCGTCTCTCCCTCCCCTCTCTCTGTCTGTCTCTGTCTCTCTGTCGGTCTCTATGTCTGTCTCTGTCTCTGCCTCGGTCTCTGTCGGTATCTGTCTCTGTCTTCTCTGTCTATGTCTGTCTCTGTCTGTCTCTGTCTCTGTCTTCTCTGTTTCTGTCTCGGTATTCTCTGTCTCTGTCTTCGCTGTCTCTGTCTTCGCTGTCTCTGTCTCTCTCTCTCTCTCTCTCTTTGAGACTTGGTGGAGCTATCTGGTGCGCGTCTTGGCCCTAGGTTGGGCCAAGTTGAGCCCATGTGGTCTATGTTAGGTACATCTTGGGCCCAAGTTGAGCCTATGTTGGGCCTAGGTCGGCCTATGTTAGGCCTATGTTGGCCTAGGTTGGGCCTATGTTGGGCCTATGTTGGCGTATGTTGGCCTATGTTGGCCCTATGTTGAGCCATCTTGGAGGCTATGTTGGGGATATGTTGGCTATCTTGGGCCTATGTTAGGGATATGTTAGGCAACGTCTGTGCCCAACACCCACGAAATGTCGATTAAGCCTGTCCGCGCGACACGCGTAACTGACACCACGGGCACCCTGTCGTGGACGCCGAAGGCCACGAAACACTGTAAAAAACGATGTTTTTGAAC